AAAAAAAAAAAAAAAAAAAAAAAAAAAAAAAAAAAAAAAAAGTTATATTTTAACTAAAAACAATATAAATTAATAAATAAATTAAATATGTAAATTAAATAAATTAAATAAATTAAATAACTCAGTAAATATATATATATATATGTAATTTAAAAAAAAAAAAGAATAAAAATAAATACTTTTTTCTTTAAAGAAAATAAATTTTGTCTTATTTTGAATAAGATTATATATTCCTTAGAAACCTACAAAAATAAAAAATAGGATTATATAAATATTTTTAATATTATAAAATATATTTTTTATATATATTTTTTTTTTAGATTTTTCTTACAATTTTAAAGATAAAGAAGATAAAATGACAATAATTGAGCTACAAAACATTAAGAATGTAAAAAGAAATGGTGAAAAAACATAATTTAAAGAATAAAAAGCCCCACTTGCCAATAAAATAAAAAAGATGTTGATAAAGAATGAAAATAAAAAATTAAATTTTATTACGAGTAATGTTTTTTTACTTATTTCAAATAATTTCGATATAACATTTATATTATTATCAACTATACAACCATCAGCACTATCCATTACCACATTTGATCTAGTACTTAATGATAATCCTAAATCAGCACTTTTAAGTGCAAAACAATCATTTATTCCATCTCCGATCATACAAACTTTGCCTATTTAACAATTAAAAATATATAAATATATATATATATATATATAAATATATATACATATATATAATGATCAAAATGACTCATGTATTATTAAAAAAAAAAAAAAAAAATTTTTTACAAAACAAATGTACATATTTTCAATTACCATCATTTAATGATTTTATTTTTTTTACAAAATGAACTTTTTCTAATGGTAAAGTATTGGAAGAAATATTTTCTTTCGATATTCCCAAAATTTTTGAAATATAAAGAGCATTCATATAATTATCTCCAGTACATATATATACTTTTTTCTTTTTTTTTTTTAAATATTTTATTAAGTCAAAAACTTCTGGTTTAATGCTATCAACCAATGTAAAGAAGCCAATTATTATACCTTCTATGCACATAAAAATAATATTATTTCCTTCATTTTTTTTACTATTAGAATAATTATATAAAAATTGATATGTTTTGTGAACATTACAATCACAAGAATATAAATATTTTTCCATATTCTTTATACTTAATTTTTCCTGTTCTAATTCCGGTTTACAACAAAAAGTATTTTTATATTTTGTAAAACAGTAAAATAGTGTACCAATGGTTATTGATAAATCATTTATAATACAATTAATTCCTTGATTTTTTTCATTTATCAAATTGAAAACTTCAAATTTTTCTTTTATGTGGAAATTGTTATTTATAAATGCATTTATAGATTCAGCAAATAAATGATTACTATATTTTTCAATATTTAAACTCAAACTTATAAATAAATACAACCAATTACTAATTTTTTCCCTTAAATTACTCTTATCATCAAAATGAGAATTATGTTTAAAATATTCATTTCCTTCAGTTATGTTATTTTTTATATCATTATCATTTATAATATTTTTATCTTCACATATTCTAATTCCGTTTATTTTATCGTAGTTATGTGTATAATCATAGTCATTACTGGTTTCACTATAATATGAGTCGTCATTAGATGAACAATAACTGTCAGAATAATTTATAAAATGCTCTTTCAACGAGTTATCTAATATTTTGTTATATTTTTCTTTTTTTTTTTTTTCCGTTATAAATGATGCCAAATTATTTAAAATAGATTTTCCACCTTTAGAATAATCAGCTTTTTGTTTAACCAAAGTGCGCTGACTTGTTTTATTCCTATTTTTCTTTTCTAATTCTTTTATTTCAATTTTAAAATATTCCTTTTTTGTAGTAAAAGAATAAAATGTGACATTTTTATTGGAACAACTAAAACTTTCTATAAAATTTAAAGTATTATTATTATGTCTTTCTCGTTTTCTATACTTTTTCTTCATTTCTTTGTTTTCATAAAAAATATCAAAATTCTTGTTTATTACGAAACTATCTTCCATAACTATGCCATTAGAATAATCATCACATGAAATGCTACTCTGCTTTTTTTCTACGGAATTATTATTAAAATCATTTTCATTATCGTATCTTTTATCAAACACTTTATTATTACAATCATTTATAGGAAATGAGTTATTGTAGATGTTATTTTTATTATTTTGTTTGTATTTCTTATTCATATTATTTTCTTTTTTCGAAATATATTCTATATCATTAGTTATTATATCAGTAAAATTGATTGAAATATTATTATTAGTAAAATTTTTTAATAATTGATCTAGGAAAATATCTATATTATTAGAAATATATATTTTATTTACAACTGGCTTACCAACTGTTAAGGTACCAGTTTTATCAAAAATAAAGTGGTTACATTGCAAAAAAACTTCAAAAATATTTATATTTTTTATAATTATGCCAATATTGCTACATATATATGAACTGATAGCTATTGATAAGGGGCTAGCTAATCCAACTGCACATGGACAAGCAACACATAAAATAGATAAAGAAAAATGAATAGAAAAAAGCATACATGAAAGAAACTTGCTTAATTTAAAATAATTATCTTTTTTTATATTTACATAATCATAAAAAGTTAAAAAAAACCAAATAAAAAATACAATAAAACACAATAGTAATATAGATGGTATAAATATATTAGCAATTTTATCTGCATATAATTGTAAATTAGTTTTCTTGCAATTTATTTCATCTAATGTTTTCCTAACATATTCTATATAATTTCCTTTTGATATGTCGTTAATATATAAAACAATTATTCCTTCAACACACTTTGAGCCAGCATATACTTTGTCTCCTTTATATTTTTTAATTAATTTCTTTTCACCACTTATCATGCTTTCATCAACACAAGAAATTTCATTATTAATTTTTATTCCATCAATTAACAAAGTCATTCCTTCATAAAATACTAAAATATCATTTTTTTGAATAAATTGAATTGGATAACTATTTATAATATAATCATTTAAATTTATGTTTTTATTTTCATTAATTATCTTATTAATTTCATTATTTCTATCTAAAGAGTAATTAAAGAATAAATCCTTTTTGTCTTCATTATTAAAATCATTACTTGCAAAAATAAACTTATTGCAAGAAAAAGGGGTTGTTATAGCATCTTTATTAAAATCATTATTACTACCACTACTATTTTTATTTGTAATAATATTATTACATGTTTTATTAATATTATAAATATTATTACTATTATTATTATTATTATTATTATTATTATTATTATTATTATTATTATTATTAGAAATATTATTTCCTCTATCTTCTAATTCTGAGTCCATACATTTCGTTAGTTCATATTTGTTTTTTTTTTCTTCAATTTTATTTTTCTCTAAAATATAAACATGTTTTGTTTTACTCTCATATAAGTTTTCAATTTTTTTTTTTGTAAAACCTACTAAATAATTTTCAATTTCAAACCCGAATTTCATTATGCATATTAATAAGGCTGATGAATCAAAATATAATGGAATACCATCTACGTCGATTGAAAAAATTATACAAAATAATAAAAGAAAAAGTGAATAAAAATAAGAAAAAGAGGAACTAATAGAAATTAAAGCATTCATATTAATTATTTTATTCTTTAAATTTTTATATCCATTTAAAACAAAATTAAAGCCATAATAGATATAAACAAATGAACTTAAAAGAAAAATTAGTAATAATCTTATGGTTAAACTTGGAAAAATTTTAGTATCTAAATTTATATTAAATGTGTAAATAATTAATTTATTTAATATTTTTCTTAATTTTCTTCCTTTACTAGTATTTTTTTGTGCTTCCTTTAAATTACTATCATTCTTTCCTATATCTTTTCGAATATGTGAATTTTCATTTATAAATTTATTTGATTTTTTCTTATCCACTTTTTTTATTTTTTTATTTGTTTCTGTATTTTTATGTTTCCCATCTGAAGTAACAGTCTCATTCATATATGAATCAAACTCTTTTAAATTATTTATATTATTATGTTTTGAATTATGTAAATTATTAAAATCTTTTTCAAAATTATCTAAATTATTAATTTTATCATTATCTGAATTAATGGTTTCAATGAAATTTGTATTAACATCTTTAGGGTCTTCTGAATTCGAATTTCCCATTTTAAAACTATCTCTATCATGTTTCTCATAATCATTAGGAATTAATGTTTCACTAAAACCAGTATCAATATTTTTAGGATATTTGGAATTATTAAATTTAGAAGTTTCATTCATATTCTTATAATTCACATTATATCCTTTTTTGCAATTATTCTCTTCATTTTTATATAAATTACATTTAGTATTAAAAATTTTATTAGAATTGTTAAAATTATATTTTTTTAAATTAAGAGAAATATTATTCTTAATTAATCCCATATTCAATGATTCACTCGGAGTGTACTTATTATAAATTTTATCGGAGTAAAAGTTATTCATATAACCCATATTCATCTGGTAATTATTTAACATAATAATAATAAAGCTCAAAATAAAACAGAAAATTAATTCTATCAACTTCCACATATTATCTTTTTCATTATTTTTCGTAGATTTAAAATATCTCTCTTTGTCTTCATCGTAATATGCATCAATATTTTTTTTTTTTTTTAATTCTTCTAATATATATCTTATTCCAATTATCTCAGGATTATATAAAATATAAATATATTCTTTTTTAACATTATACTCTACATTTTTTATTCCTTTTATATTTTTTAACAATTCATATGATTTTATTACATCATCTCTATAAACATATAAAGTTATTTCAAAAAGATTACAATTATTATCATCATCTTTATATACATCTAATAAATCGTTATTAAAACCACTATCCTTTATTTCTTCCATTATTTTATTCACATAATTTTTAATATTGTAACATTGTAATTTGTTTTCAGATATATTTATTTTTAATTTTATTTTTTTTTCTGTAGCAAAACTATTACCCTCTATAATCAAATTTTTATTTTTCAAAAAATTTATAATTTTTTTTCCACAATTATCACAAGTCATATTATATATTTTTAATTCACATACAAATATATTCATTCTATCTCTATAATTTTCATAATCGTAAAAAACATTGTTGCTTTTATTTTTTTTTGATAACAAATTATTTTTATCTATATTTATGTCATTATTTTCATATAAATTTTTCTTTTGATTTTTTAAATGAGTTAATAAATTAATAACGTCATTGCTTTCATTTTTGTTTCCTTTTTCTTCATCAGTTACATTTTCATTGTTGCAATGAATAGGAATTTCAGAATAATTAATGGTTTTGTTAGTTATACTATTAATTATTGTATCATCTTTATTTTTTTCACTATTACTAAATTTTTTATTTTTTTCAACATCTTTATTTGTTTTATAATTTAAATGTTTACTTTTTTCTTCCTCATTTTTATTATCATTATTTTCATTTAAATTCGAATTTGAATTAATAATTAATTTCTCTTTTTTATAAATATTAATATCACTATCCTTAATGCAATCTTTTATATATGTGCTATCAGAATTTGAACTTATTTTATCATTTGATAATATTATGTTATTATTAGTAATATCAATTTTTTCTTTATTATTCTTAATAATATTTAAGTCATTATTATTTATTTGACATATATTTGTTTCTGCTTCTTCATATGTTGTTTTTATTTTTTTTTCTTCATTTACTAAATCTTCTTGTGTATCTTTAGTATTTGAATAAAAACTAAATGTAGTTAATTTTTCATTATATTTTTTTTTATTTTTTATACCTATATTATTTACATTTTCGTTTTTATCTTCTACAAAATGTCCATTAATATCAAGATTTTCTATTTTTCCTATTATTGTATATATATCTACAATATTATCATCATAAAAAATAGTAGCTGAATTATTCATAAAAGAAATCTTATCAACTCCTTTTATATTTAGTTTTCTTATTTTATTCTTTATATTTTTGTTAATTCTATTAATTAAAATTTTACTTTTCACCATTATTTTAAAGAAAATATTAAAATTCTTTTATAAAAAAAATCAAATAAAATAAAAGAAAAAAATAATTTAAAACAAATAAAAAAAAAAAAAAATTATAAATAAAATAAATTTCTTAAATACCATCATATAAATTCGTATAAAACATTTTTTAAAAATTAATTCATATATAAGGATAACAAACTTTTTGAATACCCTAAATTTCTAACAAAAAATGAAAATGCTTAAAATATATTAAAAGAAAAATATATTAAAAATAAAAATAACATATAATTTTAAAATATTTATAAATTATAGAAATTTTTTTAAAATATATGAATATTTTTTTGGTATTATATATTTAAAAAAAGCACAATAAAAATAATTTTAAAGAAAGAATTAGTCTATCATCATATATAGAAAAGAAAAAGAAAAAGAAAAAAAAAAAATTAAAAGAAAAATTAAAAGAAAAAGAAAAAGAAAAAGGAAAAGAGAAAAATAGTGACATATATACATATATATATATATATATATATGTATATAAAATTAAAACTTTTTCTTGTTACAAAAAGCTAACTATTATTATATATATTTTTTAAAAATTGAGAAAAATATTAAAAAGTTAATTTATTCATTTAAGCTTTCTGATATTTATTATAACACACATTTTAAAAAAAAAAAAAAAAAAAAATGTGCGAATAAAATAAATTTTAATTTTATAAGTAAAAAAAATTGTATATATATATATTTTTTTAAATTGTATGCGTTAAAATATTTATTTTAGTTTATTTTTATTTTATTTAAATTTTTTTTTTTTTTTTTTTTTTTTTTTTTTTTTTTGTGATATTTCTAAAATTATAATCTAAAAGATTATTTTTTTAATGCTTATTTTNTTTTTTTTTTTTTTTTTTTTTTTTTTTTAAATTTTTTTTTTTTTTTTTTTTTTTTTTTTTTTTTTTGTGATATTTCTAAAATTATAATCTAAAAGATTATTTTTTTAATGCTTATTTTTCTAAAAATGAGTTAAAGAGCTTTTTTTAAATTATTAAAAAAAATATGTAAGTATGAAAAATATTAAAAAGATTATTCTCACATTTCTAAAATTTATAAAGCTTATTTTTTGATTTATATATAAATGAAGATATTTTTGTAATCAGTAATAAATGTAAAAATAGTGATTTCACAAATGTAATGAAAACATATATATACTATAAATATACAATTACATCTAAAATAATTTCATATATAATTTACTTCATTATGAAATTTACAAATTTTAAGAATTTTCTAAAATATACATATATAAAAGTTTAAATAGCTGAAAAAATAAAAGATAAAAAAAAAAAAAATAAAATATCTTAAGGAAACAATTTATTATTTTACTTTATTTTTTAAAAAGTATTCCAATTTTCTTTATGAATATTTTGATTATCTAAGTCAATATATTTTGTATTTAAATAATTGCTTTGCTTTTCTAAAGAATAAATAAATTTATTGTTGTAAGAATGAAATAAGTCTATGTTTTGTTGTACTTTATTTAAAAACTCAGTTAAATAATTTTCATCAACAACATTTTCATAATTTATTTCAAATTTTTTTCTAAAAATATGATTCTTATATATTAAAATTACACTAGGTACATAATTTATTTGACAATTGTATGAACATTGAGGACATATATTAATGTCAATAAAAAAAAAATTTAAATTCTTATTTTTTTCAATGATACTTTTAAATTTATTAAATAGCACAATGCTGATATTGTTTTCATAGCTTCCAAAAAAAAGAACTTGTAAGTCATTAGATATAATAACATTTTTTGAATATGTTTCATCATCTATATTTTCTAATTCATTTTGTGTGGTATTATTCTGTTGTTTTATTTCTTTACTTACATGTTCTTCTAATTTATTATCTGTTTCTCCTCTAATTTTATTATGTGATTTATTTGATATTTCTGAATAATCTTTAAAATACTCATTTTTTATAATAAAATTAAAATATTCATCATAATTATTTATTATCTTCAAATTATTATAAGGCGACTCATTCAATTTATACACATTATAAATGTACTTGTTATCAATTTTCATACAATCATTTTTAATTGTACTATAATTCTTTGAAATTACACTTAAAAATTTTGAATTATTTTTTTTTAATATTTTATTTAAATTTAATACTTTAAGCATCTTAAATATCTATATTTCAAACAATCTTCTAAAAAAAAAAAAATTATTAAGTTTAAAAATTTTATGAGATATTAATTCACAATTTTTTCATTCCACTCTTATTATTTTTTTTTTTAAGATTTTTAAATTTTATTAAATATACAAGATAAAAATAAAATATTCAATATCTAATATTTTTATTATTTTTAATTAAATAATACAAAAAATAAAAAAAATAAAAAAAAAAATAAAAAAAATATAGTCTTAAATTTAGAAAAAAATTTTAAATTTAAAACTTGTTGGGAATTAAGTGAATGCTAGATAGAAAAAGAAAAATTAAATGAGGTATACTGAAAATATTATACGTTAATAATATATTTTATTATTTTTTTTTTTTTTTTTTTTTTTATACTTCCTATATATAATTTTATAAATGTAAATAAATAATTATTGATACATGAAGAATATTTTGTTTATTCGGTTTATATTTTTTTTTAAATGTTATGATAAAAAAATTTAATTTTTTTTTTTTACCTAAAAGATATGTGCTTCTGGGTATTTATAATATATATATATTTTTTTTTTTTTAAGAGTTAATATAAAAATTTTTTTTTTCGTTTTTTCTTTTGTAATAAAAATAACTAAAATTATTAAACAATGTTTAAAAATTAGTTAATTTTTCATAAGATTCATAAATATTAATTTAGTTTCATTTTTATTTTCCTTAAATTTAAATTAATAAAAAATAATTGTTAACATAACATTATAAATAAAATTAAAAATATATATATAAGTTATTTTTCAAAGTACAACTTATTTTATTATGTATAAACTGTATTACAGTATAAGTATATTTATATATATATATATTAAAAAGATATAGAAAGTTCTTTTTTTTTTTCCTTTTTTTTTTTTTTTTTTTTTGTGTTATCAGAAAAAGGTGTGACAAAATAAAAAAAAAATAAATATATAAAAATTACATAAAAAATATGTGTATTAATTTATAATTTAATTTAAAAACTTAATGAGCTCAAATAATTTATGCTTTCAACAACCTGGGAATCTAATTTGTCTTTAATAGGCAGCAAAAATTTAATAATATCATATAAAGTTGTTTTATCAACTAATTCATTTATCTACAGAAAAAAATAATAAAAAAATAATAAAATAAAATAATAATATATTAAATATATATAAACTAAAAATATCATTTTGTATAAAATTGAACTTAATATGTTAAGTAAATTTATTTTAAAAAATATTTTTATTTTTTTATTTATATTTTTACCTTATTTTTTTTACATAATTCTTTTAATGTCATTAAAAAATTTGATGACAAATCAATATTATAGTAATCAGCTGTTGACAATTTTTCTAACATATTTTCAGGGATTAAATTAGATGAAAAAATAATAAAAGCCTCTTCAAACATTTTTTTTTTCATAAACAATATAGTTAAAACAAGATGTGACTTGTTTTCAATTGACTCTAACTTAACATTAGATGGCCACATATTCTATAAAAAAAAAAAAAAAAAAAAAAAAAAAATATATATATATATATATGTTAATGTGTGTGTGTATATTTATAAAATAATATTTTATAAACAAAGAAATTTCTTTTTTTTTTTAATGTTGCATACCTTAGCTAAATGATAAAATCGAAAAGCACATTTACGAATATAATTATATTCCTTCTCATTATTATGAAAATAATATATGAGTTCATCATTGTATATTCTAATTAATGAATTAATTGCACTATGTTCATCTTTTAATATATAATAACATATAAATGATATTATATAATTTTTTCTTTGATTTGCAAAATAAGCTAATATGGCATAAAATTGAGAAATTTTATATAAAATGGATGAATGAACACTTATAATAGAATTATCCAATGATATTTTACTTAAAGTATTAATATTTTTGTTATAAATAAATTTAAAATTTCTAGATTTATAATGATATTCATCATTTTCACTTTTTTTTTTGTTTGATATTTTATTATGAGAAAATTTCTGCTTACTTAAAACATAATACATTAAAAAAAAGCATTTAATGTCTTTTTTTATCTTTACTTTATTTTTAAATAAAAATAAAAAATCATTTAATTTTCCGTAAAATATATTTCCGTTATTATTTATATGACCTATTATACTTTCATGTAGCAAAATATCTTGATTTTCTTGCACTATGCTTTTTAATAATTTAATACTTATATGTGTTTTTAAGTTAATTAAATATGTTATCTTTAATAAAATATTAATATTGTTATTTTTGAGAATAAAATATTCATATGGAATATCATTATTGCTCATACTTAATACAACTAAATTCACTTTATCTGATGAAGGAACATCATTAATATCATGAGAGCTATCAAGAATTAGACTATTTTCATTTTGAAATTTTAAAAAATTCAATGTTTTCATTTTGATATTATTTAAATGAGAATTTTCAAAAATATTATTTTTATGTAAAAATATTGTTAAAACCAATAATATTCTTTGCAAATTGTTAGATATACAAGATAAAAAAACAACTGTAGTATATATATTTCCCACTAATAATAAATAATAAAATAACTTAATATATAATAAAAAATTATTTTTTAAAACTTTTAAAATATTTCCTTTACTTTTCTCTGATATTTTCCCATCCACAATAATAAAATTATTTATTACATCATCAACCTTTAATTTTGAACAAATAGATAAATATTTTTTATTTTCATTAATAATACAATTAGAAATACTGGTAAACAATTTTTCTATTTTGTTATTTATTTTTTCTCTTCTATGTTTTGTATCATTTAAAAATGCATTATTATCATCATCATAATTATAAAAACTTAAATTAGAATCAATAATATCAAAATTTTCCTGAAATTTACTACTATATAGGTCGAAATTTTTTGTAATAAATAATGTCAATTCAAACCATATACTTGTTTCAATATTACAGTACTCAAAATTATAACTATATTTATTTGTAATTCCTAATCCATCACTGCTATTTACTTTTACTATCCCTTTATTTATTTTATCTAGTTCATCATTTATTTCCATATTACTAAAAGAATCTTCTTTCACTTTTTTTGGTTTTTGCAATATATTACTAATCATATCAAAAAAAAAAGTTTTCCTTTTACTTTTTCTTTCCTTTTCTGGAGTTCTATTATTCTCAATATTAACTTTTTTATAATCACTATCAGCATCATTGTTATAATCTTCATTTTTATATATTCTCAACTCATTCTTATAACTATTATCTACAGTTATTTCGTTTTCATGATTATTATCATAATTATTGTTATTTTTACCGATGTAATAAAAAATATTCTTCATTTCAATTTTTTTTTCTCTATTTGTGTATATATTTCCATTTCTGTAAAATATATCTGAAAATAAAATGCACAATAAATCATAGGCATATATATTATTAACACATATATAAATAATAGAATGAAAAAAATTAATTAAATTAGATATATTAATTTTCTTTTTTAATATATCGCTGCAATCAATTTCAATTTTCATATTTTCAAATATATTTATTTCATTGTTTTTATTATAAATTAAAAATAATATTCTTATTAACAATATTATGAAATCATAAAAATAATTATCAATATTTAAGTGCTTAATGAATTCTTCATTTTTAATTATTTGTATTAACCCTATATAATTACCACAACGAAACATAATATTGATTAAATAGAAAAAAAAGTGAGTAGTAGAGTTTTCTTTATCCATTTCATTTTTGTAATAATTATTATAACAATAAGAAAAAATTATATTAGATTTGGTATCAACAAAATATTCTTCTATTTGATTAATATCTTTAGAAACATAATTACTTATTTCTATTTTATAAAATTTATCATGTAAGTGTTGTAATGTACCAAATAAATAATTAAGCAATAAATTCTCATAGGTATAATTTCCATAATTTATTTTATCTTTATTTTCACTATCGTAGTATTCTTCTTTTTCTTTTTTTTTTATATTTTCCTTAGTTATAGATAAATTCATGTTTAATAAACTATTCAAAATGTCTTTCAAAATTTGCTTATAAAAAGAATCGAAATCTAATGTACTATTGCTTTTCTCATTATTTAATATATTTTCTTCAAAATTATTTATTTGGGATTTTATAAAATGATTTTTTGAGTTTATATAATAATGATCATTAATTTCAACAAAACTATCATATAAATTAGATTTTTCAGAATTTCCAAAAAAAAATTTTGAATAATTCAAATGAGTGTTACTTAATAACATATAATAAAAACTTTTAAAAGGTATAAAATCAATTTTATAAGAATTAACATTATACAACCAAATTAATATTTGAAACTCATGTTGATCTAAATCTAATACATTACTTTTTATAACTTTTTGATTTTTTTTTTGTTTAAAATTAACTAAATAATCGACAAAATTTTTAAAAATATTACTTTTAAAATTATCCCACATTAAAGAATCATGATCATTTAATAGAGAAAATGTGGTTTTCTGTATATTATTTATATTATCATTAATTATTAAATTTATATAATTGTAAAATGTTCTTTCTTGCCCTTTATCACTACTTATGCCATCATTATAAATCTTATCAAAAATATTTTCTTTACTTTTGATAATTTTTAAATCTTCATCAATATTATCTAATTTTTCTGCATTTTCAACGTCTTCCTTATCTTTTTTCAATTCTTCTAATGAAATATCATTTTCCCTACTCTTTTCATTCATCAAAAGTTTATCTTGCAGAATTGGACTATTACTTATCGCATTTTTGTCACTTAAAAAAATACTTTTTGATGTATTATCATTTACATTTAATCCTCCAGTTAAATTGTTACTTAAGTTATTACATAAATTATTATTTAAAGTACCACTTAAATTGCTAGATAAATTAGTATTTAAATTAGTATTAAAACCAGTATTTAAGCTAGTATTTAAATTGGAACTTATGGTATTACTTATATTAGATCCTATGTTTGTACTTATGGTGGCATTTGAATTGGCGTTTGGTGTATTTAAAACTAAACCTGATGAAGATCCAAATATATTTTTATCATTTAAGTTAGTTTTATTTGTACTTGAAGTAGTATTTCCAAAAAGATTAGTAGAGGGAATATTTGTATTAGTTGTTGGAGTAGTAATAGCAGAAGTTGTACTTTGAGTAGTAGCTGGCAGTGTTCCAAAAATATTATTAAACTTATTTTGACTAGTTGGTGTAGATGAAAACACATTACTTGTTACTCCTTGATTTGTTGGAGTTGTAGAAGCAAATATATTATTGTTTACGGGTTGAGTGGTTGTTGATAATGATCCAAAGATACTAGTTGTTTTATTTTGATTAGTCGCTGTTGCATTCCCAAATATATTACTTGTTGATGTATTTGTAGTAGCTCCTGGTAAAGTACCAAAAATATTACTTGTAGGTTTAGTTTGATTAGTAGATAATCCTCCAAAAATGTTACCAGTTGTTGTAGTTTGATTGGATGCTGGTAAAGTTCCAAAGATACTACTTGTTTTATTTTGATTAGTCGTTGTTGCATTTCCAAATATATTACTTGTTGATGTATTTGTAGTAGTTCCTTGCAAAGTACCAAAAATATTACTTGTAGGTTTTGCTTGATTAGTAGATAATCCTCCAAAAATGTTACCAGTTGTTGTAGTTTGATTGGATGCTGGTAAAGTTCCAAAGATACTACTTGTTTTATTTTGATTAGTCGTTGTTGCATTCCCAAATATATTACTTGTTGATGTATTTGTAGTAGCTCCTGGTAAAGTACCAAAAATATTACTTGTAGGTTTTGCTTGATTAGTAGATAATCCTCCAAAAATGTTACCAGTTGTTGTAGTTTGATTGGATGCTGGTAAAGTTCCAAATATACTACTTGTTTTATTTTGATTAGTCGTTGTTGCATTTCCAAATATATTACTTGTTGGTGTATTTGTAGTAGCTCCTGGTAAAGTACCAAAAATATTACTTGTAGGTTTAGTTTGATTAGTAGATAATCCTCCAAAAATGTTACCAGTTGTTGTAGTTTGATTAGATGCTGGTAAAGTTCCAAAGATACTACTTGTTTTATTTTGGTTAGTTGTTGATGCACTACCAAAAATACTACTTGTATTTTGGTTCGTTGTAGGTAATGTTCCAAAGATACTTGTTTTATTTTGAGTAGTTGATGATAAATTTCCGAAAATATTTCGTGAGTTACTTTGATTTGTAGATAGGTTTCCAAAAATATTATTGGATGTCGTAGTTTGATTATTTGGTTGGAGACTTCCAAAGATACTTTTATTAGTTAAACTTGTTCCTTGAGTATTTAATGATGATGTTCCAAATATATTTTTCATATTCATATTATTTTGATTATTTGTATTCATAAATAAACCACTTCCTAAATTTCCTTGAGAAGACGTATTAACATTTGATGTACCAAATAAATTTTTTGTACTCAAATTAGACTGATTATTTATATTATCATATAAACCCTTGTTTCCAGTTAAGCTAGTGGAAACATTACCAATGTTAAATAAACTTTTGTTTACCAATGCATTTGACTGTTGTGTTTTTGCACTTCCAAAAAGAGAATGATCAGTATTTGTTATATTTGTCTGAATATTAGTATTCCCAAATATGCTCTTATTTGAGTTTCCTTGATTAAACGATCCAAAAATACTATTCGATGATGTATTTGGCATAAACATGTTTTTATTTTTTAATAAATTATTTGAATCTGAAAAATTTCCTTTATCTATATTTGTATTATTAAAACTTTGATTAAAAATATTTTTATTATTGTTATTTAAAAATGAATTCATATTAAATATGCTCATAATTCAAAAAAAAAAGTTTTCCATTTCAACAAAAAAAAAAAATATAGTTGAAATTATTAACAATTTAAACAAAAATATTTATATTAAACACTTTAAAATTTATACAGACTTATTTTTACAAAAAAATTATAAACTTGTTAGCATTTTATTCAAGATATAAAAATACTCTTTTAATTATAAATGTGTATATTTGTATATTTATTAAGGGATAGAGAAATTTAACATTATATTATATCATAATTGACATATATTATTACCTCTCTTTTTTATTTTTTATTTTTTCTCTTTTTACTTGTTTTTTCTTTTTTCTCTTTTTACTTTTTTCTTCTTCCTTTTACCTTTTTTCTTTATTATTTTTTTTTTTTTTTTCTTTTTTGTGTTAAACAAATACAATATTTTTTTGTAATAAAAAAAAATTCCTTTTTTTAATGGCTATTTTTTTTTTTTTTTTTTATGAATTTTTCATAAAAAAATAATTTTATTTTTTAATGCTTTGTATTCCCTTTATTTATTTTTTGGATTTTTTATAATTATGTACTTTGTTATATATTTGTGTAAACTTCACAAGCGGTATTTTAACAATAAATTAAAGTTATTCTTAAACATAAATTTAATAATTTTCTATAATGTATAATAAGAAAAATTTAAACAAAAAAAAATAATTTTATATATAAAAAGATATGAAAAGAAAAAGAAAAAATTTAAATGAGTGTGAAGAAAAAAAAAAAAAAAAAAAAAATAAAAAATGTTAAAAAAAAAAAAAAAATTGAAAATAAATATTTATACGATTTATATATATAATAAAAAATTAAAATAAAAATTATGATACAAAAAAAAAAAATAAATTAAAAAAAAAAGTTATGTATAAAAAAATGAAAAATCAATAAAGATAAAAATAATGATAAACAAACACTATAAGAATATCAATCAAAAAATACTTCTATTATCTAAAAACCAACTTACATTCTACAAAAATAAAAATTTTGTAGATACAAAAAAAAGAAAAAATTTAGAAATTACTTATGATTTAAAGCTCATAAAATTTTTTTTTTATTTTTACTTATTTCAACAAAAATTAAAATGATTTAAATTTAAAAGCTTTTATAAAAATAATAACATATACGTTTGTCTTTATATGCTTACAAAATTACAAAAACTTTAATCAATAACAGTGTCAATTTATGCATTTAATAATTTTTTATTTTAATTATATATGTATATTTTACCTTTATATTACATAATACATTTAAACATTAACATGATTTATTTTTATTCTAATAATTTTATAGAATGAAATATTCAATAAATATACATAATTCATCATTATTATATCAAATTGAAAAAGCATTTAGAAGGATCTACAATTACTTTTTAATTTATTTTGATATAGATAAAAATATAAAACACTTCAAAGAGAAACAATTTATTTCTAAATATAGAAAAAATTAAAATAATAAAAAATATGTATGTTAAATTCTTTCGAAGTTATTTTATTATTTTCTTTGAGTAAATGTAAGTTATACAATAAAATAAATAGTCATAAGAATATCTTATTTTTGTTTTATTATACACAATAAATTTCTATAGTTTTTATAAATTAGAAATATCATAGAAAAATAAATGAATAATTAATTATTACATTTTTCGCATCTTTTCGTTTAATTATTTTTTTTTATATATTCCTATTATTGAAATTTTATTTACAAGATGTTACCAAGAAAAAAGATAAAATATATTCTATTTAACATATTCTTTTAAAAATAAAAATTTTAATTAAAATAATAAAATTTATGAACTAGTATTTTAATTGTAATTTTAAAAATGTGATCAATACTATAACAAATTTAATCTAATATTTTTTAATTCTTAAATATATTAATTTTTTTTTTTTTCTAAACTTATTCAAATATATTATACTACGTACCAATACTTAATATATTAAATAAAATATATAAATAAATTAAATAGTCATAAATATATTAAGCTATTTTGAACCTTTTTTTTTTTTTTTTTTTTTTTTTTTTTTTACATATGTCTTGTTACTTAAAAATCAAAAATGTTAAAAAAAAAAAAAAAAAGTTTCATAATAATAAAAAAGGTCAAATGGAAACAAGCGGAGATTTTTTAAAAAAAAATTAAATTGAATTAAAATTAATTTTAAAAAATCGTTTCATCGTTTCATACGATCCCCATGATATGGCTGATGCAGGTATACATAATGCCATTCTTGCTAGAGATCCTTTAAAAAAAGAGCCCAAACCTTCTTTATAATATAAATTAGATACAACTTTAAAAAATTGAAATCCTTTTGTATTAAAGCATTCAGTTTGAATTCTTGTTTTTATAACATCAAATGGATTAGTTAATATAGCTGCTATTCCCCCACCAATTCCTGCACATACAAAATATGAAGTAATGTGATTAAAATGTTTACTAAAAGAATCATTTTTATAATTATTCATCCAAATATTTTTTAAATCAATATAATTTTTCTGTTCAAAATTCAATGAATTCCTTATCTTATTGTCACAACTTTCTGGATGATTATTACAATTGTTCTCTAATTTTTTGATAATTTCCTTAAATAAAATATCAGAATTATGTTTCTCATTAGAAAGTGTTTTCACTATTTTCTCTTCATTTACTTCATCTCCTTGAACAAATTTACTTTCTTTATTTTTACTTGAATTATTCAATGAATATAAATCTTGGTCAATATAAAATTTTATTAATTTCATCTTATCACTTTCTTTATTTAAGTTATTTATTATTTTATCAGCATTATTATTTTCATAATAATTTTTTTCATGATTATTTTTTAAATCATTTATAATACTTACGTTTTTAATATTTCCTTCTATATTTTTGTTGTGTTTTTTTTTTATGTTATTGTCCTCTATCTTATTATATTTATTTTCCGAACTATTTTTATTTATGTTACTAAAATTACATATATATTCAAAATAAAACTTTTTCATCCGTTCATTTGTACAAATCATAATAATCTGATAAGGTATATTCATTAACAGTGTTATTGGTAAACTTAAATATAAACTCCTTATACCATTTTCTTTTAATATTTTTATAGATTCTAAACCATTTCTATTTATTCCTAATTGTATCCTTTGTTTTAATGTATCTATAGGTGTAATAATTAAATCGTGTGCTATGGTTGCTAAAAATCCTGATACAATTATGCTAAAATAATTTAAATCATTTAATTTGTAATTAATTGATTCAGGTTTTTTATTATTTAAAATTCTTATAGATGAATTATTTGAAATACTTGAAAAATATTTTTTACTGTACTCAAAAGTTGAAAAATACAAAGCATGAGCCGGAATGCATCCTAGCATTACAACATTTACTCCTTTATATAAATGAGAAAAATTATTTCTTATTAGGTTACAATTATATCTGATTACATTTACATCATTTTTTTTATTTTTAAGTAAAAAGATATTTTTAAAAAAACTAAAATTTTTAAAACTGTTATTAAACCTATTTACATCGTAGGTATTCTTTTTATAAAAGTTAAATTTGCTTGAAGAATGAATATTTCTATCAAACAAATTTGTATTATTATTTTTATAAAGATTAAATTTACTTAAGAAATTAATATTTCTATCAAATAAATATGTATTATTATTTTTTGGAAAATAATATATATTATTTAATAAGATATTTCTTTCATTATTTAAAAATGAAAATATATCATTTTTTTTAATTATTTTGTTATTTTCTAATGATATATTTTTATGTGTAACATGGTTTAAAAAGTTTTTCATATTTTGAAATAAGTTTACAAAAACATTTAAATGATTTTTCCTCTTCTGCGTATTTAAAATATTCAAATAATTTTGATATATAAAACTTTTTTTAAATATATTATTTAAATTATGATAATTCGTTTTTTTAAGAAAATTTAAAGTATTATTTAATGTTTTATAAGTGTTTTTATTTCCATCATATAAAAAATTTTGATGTGGAAATTTTAAAATATATTTGCTTTTATTATTATTGTTAAAATTATTCGTATTAAAACACTTATTTATAATATGAATATATATATTTTTTAAATTATTCATCAATGTTAATTTATTTTTACTAAAAATAGAAATAAAACGATTATTTCCTTCTATTTTCAAAAATTTCCCCATATATTTGTTAAATATGAAATTATTATTTTTTAAATAAACATAATTATTCTGTTTTATATTTACATATGTATTTAATAATCTTAATTTTTTATTACCATAATTTTTTGTATTATTATTATTGAATGAATACTTGTAATAATTAATATTACCTTTATATTTTTTTTTAATTTTTTTTAAAATAATTTTCGATGCAACTTTTTTTGAGCTATACATTTTTTTTTCCTTAAGACGAAGTGAAAGTAAAGATAACTGTTTTTTATCATTATATGATAGTTTTTTAATACCATTTTTCACATTGTTTTTATAAATATTAGATAATTTATCCAATTTAATCATAACATCTTTACCTGAATAATTTTCTAAGTTATTCATATTTCTTTTTAAATAATTAATTCTTTTATTTTTGCAGTTATATAACTTATTTGAGTTAATTTCCTTAGAGTTAATACATAAATTGGTTCCATTCTTTTTCAGATTTAATAAATACTTATAATAAGAATTAAAACATTTATAATTATTTGAATATCTATTAATTCTTTTATTACAGTAATTATGGTATTGTAATTTTTTATTTACTATATGGTTTATTTTACTGTTGTACAATTTATAATTGTCGTGATGGAACCTATTTAATTTATTTTTTTTTTTTAATATATCTAATATATTTATGTATGTAGCAATCCTTTTATTTTCACATGGGATTGTTTTAATATTACAATAATTTTCGTAATTACATGTTTTATTTAAGCAGTTATCACACCCAACTGCGGAGCAAAAGTTTCTTTTATCAATATGTATAGGTGTGTTTAATTCTTTGATATTATTATGGCAATTATACAAGTTACACTTTTTAAAACTTTTCTTACAATTTAAATTAGTATTTGTTTGGAAATAAGTTTTTATAGTATCTAATGGATACATAAAAACATGTTCCATTAAACCAGCAATACTACCACAAAATATATGTTGCCACAACGGTATATCCCCTTTATATTCTTCCCATTCTTCCCATATAAAGTCAAAAGACTCCGATTCATTTTCATTCGATGCTTCACTTACAGATAATTCATTCATCTTATTTTATTTTATTTTGATTTTGATTTTATTTGATTTTTTTTTTTTTTTTTTTTTTTTTTTTTTTTTTTTTTTTTTTTTTTTTTTTTTTAATTAACCTTTCATTACTTTTTTGTATCTATATATCATTAATTATTTTATTTATTTTGAATTTTTTATGCTTTTTCTTAAATATTCAGAAAAAAAGAGAAAAAAGAAAAAAAAATTTATTATAATATTTCAATTAACATATTAGAGAAAACGAATTTATATGTTTTTCATATTTATTATAACTAATATTTAAATTTATTTACATTCCCAAAAATTTATAAAAATTATGTTTTCAAATTAATCTATTCCATTATGATAGTTTTCGCAAAATCAAAAAAAATTATTATTTTTTAAAATTTGCTAATTATAGGAAACAAAAAAAAAAATATATGAATTTAAAGTCAATAAATAAATTAATAAATTAATTGAAAAAATAAAAGAAAAAAATTATATTTAGTTATCTATATATATACATATATATTTAATTGTTTTTGTATTTTATAATTATTATTTATTTTATGTTTTTTTAAATATATAAACATAATATTATAGAAGAAAATATTTAAATCACATAATGAATATATATATATGTTATAATTAAATTTTTTATAATAAAAAAACATACGAATAAAAAATTATAGAAACTGTATATAAATTTATGGTATAAAATATATATATATATATATATATATATATATATATATATATATATATATATATATATATATATATATATATATATATATATATAAGAATAATTATAATTCAGCTAAAAAAAAAAAAAATTTGTAATTAAAAAATTAAGAGCACACAAAAAGAAGAGTAAAAAAAAAAAAAATAAAATAATATATCTACAAAATAAAAATTATAAATTAAATTATAATGTGTCCTTTTTTTATAAAAGAAAGTACTATTTTTTAATAAAATTACTTTACCTGTGCTTTATAAAAATATACCTATCATAATTCCAAAGTATTTTATTTACAAATGTTAAAAAAACATCATACTATACAAATAATAAATTGAGTAGAATAGATATATATATATTCAAAAAAAATTAACATTAAACATAATTTTTTTTATATAAAAAGTAATAAAATTTTTATTTGAAATTTTAATAACTTATCAAATTGAGACAGCTAAAAAAGTCAAAAACAAAAATAACAAAAAAAAAAAAATCACATAAATGTAACAATAAAATAGATTGACAATAACAACATAAATAATTGATTGTTCATCCAAAATATGAAATTATAATTTAATTTCTTTTTAATTTAAAATGTATAAATTAAAATTAAAAAAAAAAAAATCCCTAAAATAAATTTAATTATAAATATTTTCACATGTAAAAAAGGGATATAATTGTATAATTAATTATTTAAAATTAACAACTAATAACTAAATTAACAAAAGCATGAAGTAAAAATGGAAATATTATAGACATAAAAATTATTATAAAGATAGAAAATCTATGAGAAAAAAAAATTATAACAAAAAAAAAAAAAATCAATACATATATATGAAATAAAGCATATAATATTCAGAAATGTATTTTTTAATTGGAAAATTTTCACTAAAAAAAAACCATAAAATTAGAGATTTAAAAAAAAGTGTACATAACTGCTTTATTAAAGAACCACAGAATATAATTAAAAATAAATTCTTTTTTGAAATTTAAATTAAAAAAAGAAATAAGATTAATCTTTTCTTTTCTTTTCCTTTCTTTTCTTTTCTTTTCTTTTCTTTTCTTTTCCCTTCTTTTCCTTTCTTTTCTTTCCTTTTTTTTTTTTTTTTTTTTTTTTTCTTTTTTTTTTTTTTTTTTTTTTTTTTTTTTAAATGTATATATTCGTAATAACTAAAATTTTATTAACAAATAAAAAAAAAAAAAAAAAGTAAAAATTGAGAAAAACTTCAAAATATATTTAAGAATGTGCATTACTTTTTTCTTTTGTATTTATTCTTTAGTATATAATAAAACAAAATATTCTTATATGAAATTTTATTTATTTCTAATATTAATTTTTGGACAAATAAGAAAGAAAATACAAAATAATTTGCATTAAAAATTTATTTTTTTCTAGATACAATACATTTTAGATCTTTTATAAGAGAGAAAAAACGAATAAAAAATAAAATTAAATTACTACGAAAATAATATACTATATAATGGTAAATTTTACAATGAACTATTATTAGAATAAAGTAAATATAATCATTTATTTATTAAAATTTTTTTTTTTTTTTTTTTTTTATGTTATTATATCTTAAAATATTTAATTTTTTTTTTTTTTATGTATTTTTATGTTGTTGGTTCATAAAATAGACGCGAATTCATTTATTCATATTATATAAATACACAAAAAATGTAAGGGAAAAAATTATTTTTCTAAGAAAAAATTCGTTTACAAAAAAAAGTAATAAACAAAAAAAATTAGAAAAAATAATCATTAAAAACATGTTAAAAATGTTTTCTTCAAAAAAAGAGATTAAATAGTTACCTGTAGAAATATATGAAACTCTTAAAAAATTAGTTTTAAAATATAATAATTTTTTTAATAAATTTGTACGATTTATCATTAGCAAATTTTTTTTTTTTTTAATCTTTTGAGCATAATAAAGAAGTTCCTCTTAACTTCCAAATAGAAGGATCAATATCGGTTTTTAAATGTATTCTAAAAATAAAATATTTGTCAGTTCTAACATTATATTTATATACTGGGCAGTTATAAAACATGTGTTTATTATTTTCAATAAATTTTACTTTTTTATCTTTATTTGATACAACAGTGATATGAATAACAGGCATATTTTCGCATAAAACTTTTGGTGAACTTTCTTCTAGTTTACCTTCTTGCCAATTCCACTTAGATCCTTCAATAAATAGACCATGTATATTAAATCCATGTTCAGGAAATTCTTTTATTTTCTCTAAATCATAATTTTTTATGTCAGCATATAATACTACTTCATCTAAAGATAGTTGATCTTTTTTATTTAATCTTGTAATTTCTTGTTTCATACTGGTTAAAAATCCTTGAGGATTAAAAAATCCAGGTAACCAATAAGATTTTAATTTACCATTATGAATATAATTCATTATTTGTTCGTATCTTAAATTAAGAATATTAAGCCATTGATTTAAATTATGACACACCCAAGATATTTCTGTTTCACTAGCGTCATAAATCCATTTTTTTGGCACACATTGAGAATATATATATTTCGTATCATTTTGTAAATCAGATGTCATTATTTTTGAACCATCAATTGCACTAATTATATCATTTAAATTCATTTTGACTAAATCTATAACTTTTTTAATTCTTTCCATTTCTTGTAAAAAGAATACTTGTAAAGGAGAAAAATTATACTGCACTTGTTTATCGTCATCATAATTGAATTCCCAATATGTTATATCTATATCATTTATAAAATCATCTTCCTTTTCCATGTTAACATTTTTATTTTTGTTATCACCCTGAACATTTTTCACATTATTAGTATTATTACTAATTGGATTATTTAATAAGGCACTTCTCTGTAAAGTGTTATCATATGTATCATTATTATCCTTATTTTTATTTTTATAAGAACTGTTTTCTAATGCAGCAAAATTTTTAGTGGTATTTAAATTTGAAGTTATATTTAATTGTTGATTTGTCTGGATATTTGGTTGTTGGTTTTTATTTTTTCTATATATTATTTTTTTTATTTCTTCTAAATTTATCTCTGCTGGTAAAATCTTTAATATTCCTAGAGTGATTTCTTTCACTACAGTTTCCATACTTTTTTCTTCACCTTGATCTACATCTCTTGGTTGAATTTCTAAAATAGAATTTAAAACCTGTCTTGTTTCATTCACACGATAAGTTATTTCAGCATTATTATGTAAACCTAGAACTGACGGTGTATCAATATTTGGCAATTTTTCAATAAAATTTTTAAAATTAGTAATTTCAAAAAATTTAGGCATATTTAAATATTCAGAATTTATTTCATTTTTGGCTTTAAATAAATCTTCACTAAAATAATATTGAACATATGTTAATAATAATTCACGATCTAAATCATCTGTTACTTTTCCCCCGTATTGAACTTCTGCTAACATATAATGAATAGATTCCCAATCAATTGGTCTATTTACTAATAATGTGGAGTATAAATGTTTTTCAATAAATAAGAAAGAAGCGAATAAATCAGTTATGCTAAATTCATAAGGAACACACCAACCTAGAGGCCCAAATTTTTTTCGTTCGCACAATACACAGTGAAGATAAGATAATGAATAAATAATTTTCCTATACTTTTCATCATCAATTTTATCTAATATATCTTCCTTTATTATATCTTTATGTATTTTTCTCATATTGTTTTTGATTCCACTGCTTAAAGATGTAGATATTTTAATACTTCCATGTAAAATACAAATAGGAAATTCGTCATCTGGTTCTGATGTTAAAAATAAACGGAAATCTTCTTCAATATCATTTAATTTTTTTAGCATATTATAAACCTCAATTATAAAATTTTTATTTAAATGACAATTTTGCAATATTAACCAATTACCACTTATTAGTGCATTTTTTAATTTTTCTTTTGCTAAAATTTCTTGTCCCTCTCCCATAGATATTTTGTCTGTAGGATATTTTTTGAATTTTTTTGCAAAATCATCTATCATATTTGTAGGATCGCTAGCTAAAGACAATAAAAACAAAAAGGGCTTTCTATTACTTGATTCAGAAAATATATTTTCTAATGTTTCGTGTTTTATAGTATCACTATTTCTATTTAACACTTCATCTACAAATTTATTTGCACATAGTATAGTTCTATCTTCTCTCAAGCATCTTATTAAACACAACTTAATAAATGAGCATATTTTACTATTTACATCTAAGCGCTCATTATAATAAGGGATATTTCTATTTTCTATATCTAGTACATCATAATAATTTTTCCACGTATTCTCATTTAATTGTATAACATTTAATATATCATAGAAAAAACGATTATTTTTATCATTTCCAAAAGAATGGTTAGATAAAGAAACAATATTTTTATATAATTTTTCATTTTTAAATAACCATTTTGTAGAACTTACTTTTCCTTTACAACCTTTTCTATGTAAATCTATTTTATTCTTATTATTAACACTATTATCTATACCTATATTAGCAATATTATATTTGCTAACATTATTATTAGCTGTAATATTTGTTTGCTTTGCATTTTTTTCATTTTCATTAGGGTTCATTTTTTCACTTGTATTTAAGTAAGAACCTATAGTATCATTCATTATATTTTCTTTTTTCTCTTTCTTTTTTAGACCGTCCGTATGGTCATTTAATAAATTGCTGTTTAATAATTCTCTATTTATATCGTTTGATGGATTGTAATGGGATAGAGGATTTAAAAAAAAACTTATATCCTTATTACTTATTATATTGTCATATAATAATATTTTTAAAGATATTAATAATTTGAAAATTATTTTATGTTGGTCAAATAAGCATCTCTCCATGTAACTAATTATTAAGTTAGTTAATGTAGATAATATTGATTCAACCCGTTTTTTTATGTGTTGTCCTTTTTCTGCTCTTTTGATTGCTAAATCAAACTGTTCAAGAAATTGATGTAATGATGTGTTATATATATAATTTACATTGGTTATATCTACAATACAAAAATATAATATACTTCCTCTTAAGGCTACACTTCTATATTGTTCTCTTTTTTCATTTATTTCTTTTTTCTTCTCATTACTATCTCTTAATTTGGTTTCTAATTCTTTTGACAGTAACTTTGTGTTATTTAAAACTTCTATTAATTCTTCATCTTCTATTAAATTAGAACTACTAGTATTTAATTTATATAATAGTTGTTTATCTAAGTCTTGCAACGATTTAGTATTATCTTTGAGTTCTATCATTATATTTTTTAATGATATTTCCAAATGTTTTTGTTCTTCAGTTAATACTCTACCTAATAACTGGTCTTCTAATCCTTTAACAGTAACAGTAAAATCGATAACACAACATTTAGCATAAATTTCAGGGCTATAATTGGGATTAGGTAAATTGGTAGTCATAAATAAATTAAAGTTTTCGTCAAAAATAATTAAATTATTTTCTATTAATATGTAATTTTTTTTCCCTTTCTTTATAATTTGTTTTTCTAAAACAGAATCTAATATAGGATCAATATATTCTTCTACATTTTCAATTAATAATGTTTTTCCTTCACTTAAACAAAATTCTAAATTATCCTTAAATTTGCTGCTACTGAAAGTAGTGATACATCTCTGATTTGATAAATCGTTTTGAAATTCTTTGTTTTTTATCCAATTGCTTGCTTGGCATTGAGGATCTATAAGTAAAACATATTTATTAGTGTTTTCACATATCAATGCATTTTCTATACTTAATTTATCATTAGGTAATTTTTGAACACTCCAGTCACATATTTTTGTATCATCAGAGGAAAGTACATATTTAATTACATCAATATTAGAAGAAACAGGTATGTTTTTTATATTTTTTGTATAATGATAAAAAACATCATTTATAAGAAAATTTCTAAATTCTGTGTTGAACATACCACAATATGAGATAAAAGAAGAACAAATAAAAACATCTCCAACGATTTTTTTTTTAATATTAGAAAAATTATTAGAATCTTCTGTCCATCTTGCCTTTTCACTAGCTAATCCATTAATTAATTTATTAGCTTGTTCAATTCTTTGTTTTGTTTTTAAGGCTGTTTCTTCTAAAGTTTTTTTTTTTTTAAACATATTTTCTATATCTAGATTTAGATTATCAACAAACAGTTGTGCTTTTAATAGGGAATCTTCTGCTTCTGCTAACTGTTTTAAAGCATCTTCTAATCTTCCTGTTTGGATTTTTAAATAGCTCATTTTTGGTTTCACAATTTTTGATGCTTGATGATACATAGCCATAGCACCTACCCACTTACATAATCCTTCTGCTGCAACTGAAGCTTTTTTAGCTATTTGTGTCTTAAAAAAATTAGAATCAATATAAGGTTTTAAAAGCTCAATAGTTTCTTCATTAATGTTATCTTTTTCATTCTTAGAAAAATCAAATAACAAATTTAAAAATCTAATATCCGCCATTAATGGTTTCGCATATTCATCAAAAGAATCATGTATAAATTCTACGTGTTGTTTATTTACATATTTTATTTCAATTTTTGGTTCTTTTAACTTTCCTTGTAGTAATATTAATACACCATCAAAAACAATTCTTATAATATCAGATGGAGTTTTCATACTTTTTAATTCTGTTATATCTTTTGCTGTTATACTTTTAATTGCTTCTTCTGCTTCATGCAAATATGGTAATGCCGCTTTTAAATCTTTATCTGCTTCTTCTTGTTCTTTTAAAATGACATCCTTTTCTTTTATACATTTGTCTCTAAACTTAGAAACTTCTATACTTTGTTTTTCTGCTTTTAAAGATTCGTTTTTTACTTTTTCAAGTAATATATTAGTTTGTTCATCAGATTCCTTTAATTTTTCTTCTTCTGACGTTAGACTTTCTCTCATTTTTTGAACATCCATAGCAGCTTCATTTAATTTTTTTAAACCTATATCTACACTCTCTTTTAAAAATTTTATTTCTTCATATTTTTTAACGTACATTTGTTTGTACAAATCAATGAAAGATAAATATGATTTAGGAGTTACATAAGTATTTCTTCTCATTCGTTCTTTATAATTTTCACAAGTTTCAGAAACTTTATTGTGTACAATAGCGAATAAATTAAAAAAATCATTTTTCAATTTTTCTTCTATATCAATATTAAAATTATTTAAGTAAGCAGTGGACACATTAACAAGAGCTTCTAAAGGCCATTTCAAAAACCAATTTATAGTCACACAATTATATATACATGGAAACTGTTGATATCTTAATGCAAATTCTTTGTGAATTGGAGAAAAGCATAAAAATATATGAAGATTATTGCGAAAGTTATCTAGTAAGTAATCAAAAATTACATTAGATGAAACATTAAAGTCATTTATAACTTTTTCATCCTTTTTTTTCTTATGTTTTTCGTTACTCATACTATCACTATTATTTTCAATACTACTTAATGATGATTCATCACTTTTTACATCAGAATCTTTCGAATTATTTTCCATTTCTATATCATCCAAATTATAATTATCTTTTCTTTTTTTTTTTCCTCCTTTCAATTTTGATGATTGATTAGATTTGTTCATTTCTTTTAAGTAAGATTCTTTCATTTCAGCACAAATAGCTTCTTTTTCGTCTTTAATAAATAGTCCATAAACCAAACCAGTTGATAGAATAGAGTTTACATGTTCCAATATAAAATCATTTTTTTCTATATCACTATCACTTAACAAAAACGTAGTCTTTTTATTCATTTGACCAGCTGATATATATAAACTTTTTAGATCTTCAAAAAATAAATTTTTAGTATAAGTTTTAGTTATGTTAAGCTGAAATAACACTTGCTCACTTATAAAAACACTAAGTTTTGTTAATGATCTTTTTCCTGATCCTCCTACTCCTACAAGCATGCTTGATCCCTTTGGAGTTTGCATAATTCTATTTATAATTATTAGATGTTTTAAAGAATCATCAAAAAAAACAAGATCTAATTTTTTTACATTATTTACATTATATTCTTTCATATATTCATAAGCAATAAATCTTAATCTTTCAAAATCTTCAACAATTTTATAATCTTTCTTCATCCATGAAAAAGAAAAATTGTTAGAATTATCATCGTTATTTTCATCATTTGTTATTATCTCCTTATTATCCAAATTATTATTTTTATTTTGTATGTTATTCCCACTAAATAAAATATTTTCATTACTTATAATATTTATATTTTCAGAATTATCTTTATCAAATTGATTTTTATTATCTACTACGTTAGATGTATTTTTATTACAATCCATATTATTATTACCATTTTTTTGCTCTGGGCCTACATTTTCGATTAAATCATTTTCTATCATGTAATTTTGTTGTTCCTTTTCTGATACATAAAAATAACTGAAATATATATTTTTTTCAGCAATTTCTTTATAAGAAGGATAATACTTTTCAAAAATTAGTTTTAATTGATCTAATGAAAATTTTTTATCTTCCATTCGTGATAACTTATCAATTAAAACCCTTTCACATTCATGTTTCCATAAGCATAAGAAATTATACAAATTATTTTGAATAGTTTCAAAAGGGCATAGCAACATGGAATAAAATATCTTTGCCAAATCTCTTGTTGTATATAAATAATGAAAACGTGAAGGAACTGGTAACAGATGTTTTTTTAATTTTCCAAATAAATTAATCGTACATAAAATTATTTTATCAATATTATCAACAATTTCATTAGAAAATTTTTTCTTTGTGTTAAACTTGGTTCTTAATACTGTTCCATATATAGTATTTATGGAATTTAAATTATATGGAAGAATATTTACATTAAACCATTTAGATTTTAATCTTTTGGGTATATCGTTATTGCCACATCCAGGATGATTAATACATCCTATGTATTCTAAATCAATAATTTTTTTAAAATTTCCTCTTTTATCCTTATCTAAAAAGTAAAAACCTTGAAATTCAATCAGTTGCCTTAATAATTCTAATGTACTTTGATCTCCCCATTCATTAATCTTTGGCATAGACATATCATCAATAAAAATAATCGATTTTGTATTTCCAATTGGACCATATGTTTTACCTGTTTTTCTTTCTAATTCTGATTCAATAAATAATTGAAACTTTTCTGGGGTTGTAACACTAGAAAAATTAAACCTTTTAGTATTTTTATCTTGTTTCGATGTATACAATAAAGCTATAGACGTTTTTGCTGAACCAGTAGAACCTAATAACAAGGTACTTTTATAGGTGTGGAAATTGTAGCATTTAATAGGTATATTAGATATCAACTTTATAATGTGCTCAATTTTATTAGTTTCTATTGTTGGTATCAATATAGAGGATATAGACTTCATATTTCTTGGCATCTTAAATGGTGGTATATCCCATTTAACTAATTTTTTTAATTTCATATCAAAATAAAAATCGTAAATTAAGCAGCTATTGTCATTTTCAAATTCATCTAGTTCTTTATCACTTAATGTATCTGCTTTTTCAATATCCTTAATTTTTATTTCACTCTCTTTTTTTAATATATCATCATTTTTCCTTTCCTTTGAAATAATTTTATTACCCAAAATGTTTTTTAATATTGGAACATTTTTCAATAAAAAGTTATGAACTTTTAGTCTATCCTTGTATTCCAACAAGCCACATAATCCCCAAACAATAGAATATAACATTATTTCTTCACATTCCTCTACTTTTATTTGCTCATTTTTTGTTTCAGATATAAGAACACGATTATTTATATTATCCGTTTTTTCACCATCCTCCTCCTCTTCATTATGTTCATTTTCTTCATGTTTTTCATTTTCTTCGTTTCTTTTTTTTTCCCCTTTTTCCTTCTCATTTCCTTCTTTATTTTGTAAATCTTGCTTTACGTTTCCTGTACTTAATAAATGTTTCTTAGTAGAATCATTTAGTGTATTATTTTTTGTATCATTTATTCGGTTTGTGTTTTTATTTTTTTCCCCAGTTGGTATATGTTCTTTTGTTTTCATTGTATCTATTTCTTCGCTCTTTTTAATTTTTGCAGATAAAGTGTTTTCAGAATTTTCTATACAGTTATTTTCAGTGTGATGTTTTACATATTTCTCATTTTTATTCAATAATTTTTTTTCATTAGAATCAAAAAAAAATATTTTATGTAAATCTTCTTCATTGTACATAAAATTGTTTATTGAATTAATATACTGAACTAATAGAGAATTTAATAAATTAATTGTTTGCAAAATTAGAATAGAATCTGTTATCTCCATTACAAATTTGCAATTATTTTTCAAAAAATGTAAAATTTGAATTTTGTCTAAATAAAACATGAATAATTTATTAAATATTGGGAATAATGAAACTCCATAGGTATTTACATCCTTTAATTTTTGTAACCAGCTATAAATAAAAGGCTTATATCCTAAATCACCATCAGAAATATATACTATTCCTGTTCTGCTAACAGTAGCAGGGGAAGCGTTATTTAAATTTTCCACTTCAAAAGCTATTTTTGTATTATCAGTCATTGGAATTCTATCATTATTAGCTAATGTTAATATTTTATTATCATCTAAGACAGTGTTCAAATTTTCTATCCATATTGCATCAACAGGTCCATCACATACTATCCATGTGTCATATTTTAAATTGTTATTGTTATATTTTTCCCATATATTTGCAAATATACCTGGTGTCCATTCTTCACTTAAATTATCTTTAACTCCATACATGTGTTCAGAAGTTATTGCCTTTGGGTTTAAAGTAATAATTTTTGTAACAGTGCCTATATTTGTTAATGCAGCAGTTAAAATATTTAATATTTCTGTTTTCCCTGTCAAAGTATTACCAACTAACATGAAACCATGGCGAACTAAGGATGTTTCATATAACTGTAAGATTTTTAATATCCATTTATTTTTTGCACATAATTTTTTTTTCTTGATAATTTGTAATACATTATCTTCTATTAACTGATAACTTTTTTTTGTTATGTTATGAAATTTTGGAAAAACATCGTTTAATAAAGATAAAAATAAAAGTACATCATCATATATTAATTTTGATAAATTCATATCTCTTAAAGTACGCATTAATAACATTTCCTCATCGTTTTCACTTGCCCCTGCTGATCTTTTTGTATCTCCTGCAGTACGCAAAACAGACAAGATATTCCTTAAACCAAAATCATAATGTTTTTGCTTTGATAATTGTTCTTCGCATAAATTATATAAAGATTTAAATTTGTTACTTAAATTATCAATATCTAAATATCCAACAGATGCTAATTTAACCTTAATTATAATTTGCCTATCTGGAACCATCATGGAAATAAATCTAAAAAATATTTTTAGATTTTCTGGTAATAATTGTCTACCAGCATAGCCAGGATTCATAGTGATAAAATAAGCTGATGAAGGGTTTAAATTAATTGATTTTGAGTCTCCAGGAAATAAAAAATATTTTAATGATTGTTTTTTTGCGGTTACAATCGATTCAATCTGCATAGCAACAACAGATAAAACATCTAAATTAATTCTATTAAATTCATCAAAACATCCCCATAATCCACTTCTACATAGTCCTTTGAATATTTTTGCCATATCTTTGTATTTATGCTGATTTGAACAATTTGTTACAATTACATAAATACCCAAAGTTCTTCCCAAATCTTTTACTGTTTCTGTTTTCCCAGTTCCTGCTGGTCCAGCTGGTGCTCCTCCATAGCATAAACCTAAAGCTTGAGCACAAGTTAAATAACATCTATCCGTCAATGGAGTTATGCATAATCTTTCTTTTATACCTAGATATTCATAAGAATATATAAAGTCTACATCGGATATGCTAATTAAAATTATATTTTTTTCCACTTTATAATAGATCCTTGTTTGCTTTATCCAATCAAAATCTGTACATGTTTTAATTTTATGTTCTTTTATTTTAGTAGAAATTTCACTAAACAAGTCTCTCTGATGCACATGTATAGTAACTAAAGTTTCGTATTTGGTTCTATTTAATTTGGTACCTAAATCAGATAAGCATATATTTACTAGTTCAGACATTATATAATTAATTTTTTTGTTAGTTACTTTTAATATATTTTTTTCTGTATGATATTTATTTATGCATTTTTCTATATCATTAGTCCACATAACCTGTAAGCATATTAATGCAACTTGAGCTATATTTTTATCACAGAATTCTTTTAAATTAAGTGTTTTGAATAATTGAGAAGAACTAGCTACACCAATTTTACATTCTTTTTTTATTGCTTTTTGCATTTCTTTTTCTAATAAAATTAACCAGTTTTCAATATTACCATCAATAGTTACATGATTTACTAACTGTACTGTTTCTATATCATCTTTTTCTTTATTATTTATGCATATTATTCTTTTTTTATTTTGTATAGTTTTTATTGTCAAGTAGTTTATTGCATCAAATAATTTTATTAATTCTGATTGTATTATATTGATGTCTGATCCTTGAGATAATATTTTTAATAATACTAAATTAGATACAAAATAAAAGCGAGGGAATTTGCTTCTTTTTCCTTCTAAATAAGACTCTAAAGATTTCTGACAACTCTCTAATCCTTTTTGCATATTTGGTAGTAACTCCTTTAGCATACTACTTTGACAACATTCAATTACAATGGAAGATTCGTTAGCTATATTAATTATATTTATCCAGTCTTTATCAATCTGATGAAATCTCTTTGATTCAATTGGCATCTGCCTTGCTATATCTCCACTGGTAAATACACTTTCCATAGAACACCATAACATTTGTACCTTTATCCATCTTTCAACAATATCACTACAATCAGATAATTTATTTAATAACAGTAATAATTTATTTTTAAATGGTTTGCTATATTTTGTTGAATTTATATTATTTAATAGAATTTGACTCTCTTCTAAACTCTCTTGTATTTCAATAACTTTACTTCCAACTAGTATACACGCATAATCCCTATTTTTCCATTTGCTAAATTGAAAGCATGTTTCATTCCATATCTTATATTGTTCATTTATCTTTTCTTCGATACTTGCTTCTTTTTCTGCACTATCACAAATGTCTAATATATCATCTTTCTTTTTTAATAAATGATAATTTATAATATCTTTAATAAAAAAATCCATATTATCTAAATCTAGTTTATTTAAATTATTTATATATTCATCTTCATCTAAATATGCATTTTCATCTAATAACCCACTTTGAAAGGAATTTTCCTTTTTGTCTATTTCACCAGGAACATCTAAATATTTATTATGATATAATGCCTTCCCTTCATCTAACTTCACAATTTCTTGTTTATTTTCATTTTCTTGTTTATTTTCAATTTCCTTGTTATTTTCATTTTCTTGTTTATTTTCATTTTCTTGTTTATTTTCATTTTCTTGTTTATTTTCATTTTCTTGTTTAATTTCATTCTCTTGTTTATTTTCAATTTCCTTGTTATTTTCATTTTCCTTGTTATATTCATTTTCTTGTTTAATTTCATTTTCTTGTTTATTTTCATTTTCTTGTTTAATTTCATTTTCTTGTTTATTTTCATTTTCTTGTTTAATTTCATTTTCTTGATTATTTGTATTGTTTTTCAATTCATTGTCTTGCAAATTATTCTGTTCCTCAGACATTTTATCTTTATCTAACGTTTCTGTTTGTTTTAAATTTTTAGCTTCTGATTGTCCCTTTTCTTGAATTAAATTATTGTCTTCTTTATTTTCTCCCTTTTCCTTTTGATTTATTTTTTCGCTGCTTTTATATATTTTTTTTATCTTTTTTTCTTTTGTGTTGGTATCTTTTTTTTTTTTTTCTTTTAATACACTAATTATCTCTATCCAATGTCTTTTCAAAATTGTCTTTTTTTCTAATTCATCAACTACTGGTGTTATTTCTTTAAAATGAAAAATTTCTTTTATTAGATTTTTATAAATTACTGTTGTTTTTAAATTTTTAGGTAGTTGAGAGCACTTTTTTTCAAAAGACAATATTTCACTTTTTAATTCTTTCATTTTTATTATTCCATCATTCCATTTTAAGTTTTTCCATTCATTCAATTTTTCTTTTAATTGAACATATAGATCATATAGGGAATAAAAATTATTGATTTCAGTTGTACTTAAAAATAAATCAGAATGAGGTTGATGTTTTAAACCAAAAATTGACTCTCCTTTATAATAACTATTATATTTTTTCTTCAACATACTTATTTCTTCTTTATATCTTTTTAATAATTCGAAGGCATTTAAAGGGTTTATATTTTCACTTTTAAAATTCATTTTTAAAAAATTTTCTCTAAATATTTTTATATCTGTTTTAAAAGTATATATATTATTTATTAAATCATTTTTCATGCAATTTTTTTTTTCTTGTATTTCTTCCTCCACTTTTTTTGTTAAGGATATAAGTTCGTTAAATTTAGTTAAAATTACATTTTTTTTTTCGACTTCAAATTTGTACAATACTATAAAATTTTTTTTCATTAAATTTAATTTATTAAATGTGTTAAGCAGATTTTTATTATAAGACTCATCTAATTTGTATAATTCATTACATGACTTTTTTTTTTCTATCTTATTTATAAATTTTAACTGATAATTTTCTTCATCATCATACTGGTTAGAACTTCTTAAAGAATCAATTTGTTTTTTTAAAAAGTTAGTCATATAAAATTCCAGTATATCTAACATTTCGTTTATGGGTTTTAGCTCTATATCAATAGTTGATTCAAAAATGTGCACTTTTTTTATTATATTTATTACATAATAGAGTGAATCTATATCTATTATTTTCTTTTTCAATTTAACTTTATAAGTGTTCATTTTTTTTATTAATAAATCACTTTTTTTTTTTATAGGTGCAATAATTTTATTTGCACACTCTAATGTCTCATTTTCAATTATGTTTATTAAATACATCTTAAAACTCTCCAAATTAAATTTAAATACATTTAATACATAAAAACTCTCTATATTATTTATTTCTTTTTTTATGTTAATATATTGTCTTATTTTTTCTTCTTCTTCTTTATAATGTTTATAATCATATTCATTTTCCATATCAGAGCTGTTATTAGAATCCTCTTCGTCATTGTCATTGTCATTATCTTCTTCTTTATCATTTGTTTTATCATTAACGTTCATATTTTCTAATTCTTCTTCATTTGTAGTAAAATTAAATAAATTGTTTTCTTTTTCTTGATCTTCAATTTTATCATTCATATAATTTTCAACATCCAATACTGCATTTTTCAACATTATTTTGTTTTTTTCTATTTGACTGTTTTCGCTATTATTTGATTTTTCTTTGTTTTTCTCTAGTTCAAAATTTTTTATTATATATTTATATTTCTCAAATTTTAGAATAAAATTATCAACGATATTTTGAAATACAGATAATTTATCATTAAGTTTTATTAATTCTTTTTCAATATTTTTATCCTCTTTTATTTGATCATAAAAATTGAATTGAAATTTTAAATTATTAACACAGTTTTCATTTTCCATATCTAAATCGTCTAGTTTATTTCCTGATTCTTTCATATTTTTTTTAGAGAAAAAAGAGAAATCAAGTAGTTCTTCAAATATGTTTTTTTTGTTTGTATGTTCTTTATTATTTTCTTTCAAAGAAAGATTACTACTTTTTATTTCATCACATGTTTTATTATCGTCTTCCTTATGAAACTGTTTTATTAGTTCATCACTAGTTATCCAATTATCTATATAAATTAAATTATTTATAGAAACATTTATAATTTTTTTAATATTTTCCTTTATACTTTTTATAGATGGATTTACAACAATATCATTTTCGTGAATTAATATCAAAATTTCCATTTCATTTTTTATTTCATTTTTTTCACCTTTCTCAAAATTTGACCATGTATTAATTAAACCTTTAATATTTTTAAGATATATTTTTTTAATACTTGATATAAATATTTCATAATAAAAATTTCTTGTATAAATTATTTCTTCTTTCATAATATTACTTTTTAATTTATTTTCATAAACATATTGTATATTACTTAAGACATCAAAAATTGCAATTTGAATTTTTTTAGAAATAGAATTACAAATAACAATTCTTTTATTAAACTTTTTTTTTTGTTTATCTATAATTAACTTTTCATTTTTAAAGTCTAAAATTTTAAAAAGTAGCTTTATATTGTAATTAATATGATCGTCTATTATGTCATACAGAGATTTTATAGTTTCTTCAAAATATTTTATTTCATTATATAAATTATCAATGGAATCTTCAAGTGCATAATTATTCCATGTATATTTAACTAAAAAAGGTAATATTAATTTATCAATATATGCGTAAAAATTTTTTAAAGTTAAATCCATGTCTTTTTTTTTATTACTTTTCAATTTTTTTATTAATATTAATATATTATATAACTTATAGTAATAACTGTATATTTTAGTTTCTTGTGAAATCATATTTTTTATTTCATCTGGTATTTCAAAATTGAAAGACATAAATATTTTTGCTTCTCTTATTACTCGTTTGATTCTATGGTCAAAATTAACGATAACATTTTTTGTTTTAGGATGTTTAACAAAAACAGTAACATTTAAACTATTAATATTTTTTGAATAAGCTAACCAATGTTTAAATAATTTATTTTTATATTCTTCTATAAACTTGGTAATTTTTATGTATAATTTCAGCACTTCTTTTCCATTAGAACTTTTTAGTAGAATATTTTTTTTTTTTTTTTCTTTTTCTTTTCCCATATCTCTTGTATTATCTTTGTTATTTTCTTCTGATAATAATATTTTCATATCGTCTGTTTTTTTTTTTTCATGATCGTCTAATAATTTTAAAATTTGATCATTTATGTTATTAGTATTATTTATACTATTATTTGTATTCACATCATCTTCATTTGTACTAATTTTACATGATTTTTCTTTTTTGTTATTAATGCTTAATTTCCTATTTGAATTATTTAAATGTGGTAATTCAAAATAAGATGAATCATTACTATCCTCTTTATTGCTATTTTCATCTAAGAATATTTTAATTATGTGTTTTATTTTATAGTTAATACTAAGAATCCAAAAAATATTTTTTAAATAATTTACACTTTTGCTTAAATTTAAATTATTTTTATAGTTTTCTAAATCATTATTGATACAATTTAAAATTTCTAGAAATTGCAATAGTAGAATGTCATATTTGGTATTCAAAAAGTGAATGAGATAATCTCTTATGAAGCATTTCTTAAATTTGAAAAATATAAAAAAAGAAAGCATAATATTTGAACTATTATTTAACAAATTAACTATGTTTTCTTGTAAATCGCTTTCTAATTCTGATATATAAACTCTTAACTCTACAAAATCTCTATCAAAATAATTATCATTATAATTTAGCATATCGTCTGTATGCTTTAATTTAAATTCTTTTATATATTTATTAAATGTAGTTGTTATATTTTGTACGCAATCAAACTTTACTTTTCTTAAGTTTTTAAATTGTTTTATGCATAGAAATAAATCTACTAATTTTTTTAGGCGCCTACAGAAAATTTCTATCTTACAAAATATAACTTTAGTATTTAAATCAATAGATTTGTTTTTAGAATTATTTTCAAAAAAGGTTTTTATATTTTCAAATTCTTCTTTATACTTATCATATAACTTAAAGCATAATTCAAATTTTTCTATTAAATTATCAGGGTCTAGAAGCCATAAATTTTGCTTATTTTTTAACTTATCCATTCTAATATTCATATTTTTATTTTTCATGTTGTAATCACTTTCTTCTCTTTCACTTAATTTATTATTGAAATGTTCATTATCTTCATTCTCTTGATCATCAGACTCATCACTATCATCATCTACCTGATAGAAACAATCCTCATTATTGTCATTTCCATAATTCATATATCTACAATTATTTTTCTCTTTTTTATACATTTCCTCATAATCATCTTCATTATTATCTAAATTTTTATTAAAATTAACATCATTATTTTCCGTGTTGTTTATGTATTCTTGATCATTACTATTGTCAAAGTTTTGTTTATTTCCCTCTGATTTTGTATCTTCATATTCATTTTCTTTTATTTTGCCCTTTCTTTTGTTTTTTGGGACTTTTTTCTTATTCTTCTTTTTTTTTTTAGCACATAAAATTTCTTCTTTACATTTAATGACTATTTGGTTTGTAATTTTAATGAACAAATTATTGAGTTTATTAGGTGTGTTATAAAAACGTGCAACTAAGTAAATCATTTTAATAGAATTCAAAAGAGAAGGGATGTTATCTATAATGTTCTCCACATTGCATAAATATAATGATAAAATAAATTGTTCAACACTTTCTAAATATTTAATATTATCTTTACTCTCGTTAAATTCATTTTCAATTTTTGTTTCTAATTCTCTCCATTTGTTTAATATATCAAACGTGTATGTATATTTTTGTTCTTCGTTATTTGAGCTATTTATATTTATATTATTTATTATATTCTTAATTTCATTACTTCTTAACTCTTCGATAATGAATAATAAATATCTATGTTTGTATCTCCAATATTGTATCTCTATAAAAGGACCAACATCGGCATTTGATTCTTTATATTGCTGTATTTTTTGTTGCATGTCATTAAATAAATTTTCTAATATATTTAAATATTTTGTTAGATGAATTGTTTCACTTTTTTTCTTTTGTATTTTATTTTCTATTTCATTTACTTTTTTATTATATTGCTTAATAGAAATTTCACTATCATTTTCATTTATATCACTATTACTTTCGCAAATCATCTCATGTTCTTTTTTCATTTTTAACTTAACCTTCTTTATGTCTTCCAGAATAAAAATAAATTCGTTCAATTCCTTAATATATGTATCAAATTCCATTGTGAATTTATTTATTTCATCTGTTGAAATACTTTCATATATTATTCTATTATTAAGAAATAATGGATACATTACATTTTTTAGCATTAGTTTTAATGTATCTAATATATTTGGAGATAAAATACCATATAACATTTTGCTTTCATCTTTAATTCCATCATTTAAATATTTATAAAAATATACTATTTTTTGATTAAATTTTATATTTTCTTCTTTTACCATCACCATCTTATTATTTTCTACACCAAATAACAATATGTCATCTTTTTCATTACAAATAAAATTCTCAATAATGTTTTTTTTTTCTTCGATGTTGTTATCTATTAAATAATCAATACTATATTCATCTTTATAAGAAAATTTTAATTTCTTAAAAACCCATTTATATATATTATAAATTTGTGTATTCTCATTTTTCCTATCCATTTTTTTTTTTTTTTTTAATATTAATATATTACTATTTAAAATTTATATTAAAAATTACCTTTGTCAAATTTAGGTTATACAAAAATTTATTTATAGTTATTTTTATAAAAAAACTAAATATACATTTAAGTATATATGTATACTTTTTTATTTTATTTTAATAAAAAAATGTCTATTTTTTAATAATATCACATTTTATTAACTCACATATTATAATTATGGGGTTATTAAAATCATTATATAACAGTAAAAAAAATTCATTAATTAAAAGAATGCATTTAGGAGAAATTCAAATTTTAAAAATTAATTTTGTGTGTTAGAGAAGTCTAAATATTACAAATATATATATATATTATATATATTTATATGCTTAAGCGTGTCTTAGTAAAAGACAAAAAAAAAAAAATGTAAAGATATATATTATTTGGTTATTTTTTTTCTTTTTTATTCTTCCCATAATAATTATAAAGTTCTTAATATTGATATATGTAATCTAGTTATATGCAAAATATAATATAAACTAAATTACACATTTAAAATAAAAAAGGAAAAAAAAAAAAAAAAATACATTCTCATGAATATATATATATATATATATATATATATATATATATATATATATATATATATATATATATATTATAATAATTAATATAACTTTTAGTAAGGATAAACATAAAAAAAAAAAACATTAAAAATTATTAAAAAAACTAATAATTAAAGTTTTAAAATACACGAAGGAAAATATGAAAATGACAATTCTTCTATATTTAAAAAAAATATATTTTTTTTTATAATTAGAATAAATAAGAAATAATAGGTTTTTCATATGTTTTTATTACATATACAGATTTAACTCTAATCTAAATTTCCAATTTAACATGCTTGAAAAAAAATTCTATACTATATTTTTCTATTATTATTATATTATAAATGTAATTACAAATAATATTTGAATTTATTATTTTAAAATAATTTTAACTATACAATATTACAATATATGTGAAGTTAATTATGTTTTTATTTTAATTCAATATAGAACATTTTTTAAAAAAATATATTTTTTTCATTTATAATATGTTTACCAATGTTAGTTATTTTTCCTTTTTATATTTTAAAAACATTAGGAAGTTTCTATAATATTATTATTTAAAAGAATTTTTTGCATTTATAAATTTTTCCTTTCATATTTTATACTACTTTTTTTAATTTTACCTTTTTTTAAATAATTTTCTTAGGGCATTACTTTTTAAAAAAGATTCTACCTTTCTAGATATCCATCCCCTTTTTTTAGGACCTTTTTTTTTGGAATCATCTTTATCTAGTTTTTGTTTAGGTTTTACTAGATCTCCAAATTTACTACCTTTCGGTTTTTTTGGACTTTCACATTCTGAACCATCAGAAGTAGATACACTTTCTTCACTAGTTGAATCCAAGGCGCTTTTTTGTGTATATGGTTTTTGAGATTCACCAATTTCTTCAATTTTATCCATTTCTTCACTTATTTGTTGTTCTCTTTCTTTTACCATTTGAGATGTTACAAGAGACCTCTCACTTGAACCTTTTTCCAAATCTGTTTCATCTTCCCTGATTTTTCCTATGTACTTAGATAATTTTAATTGTAATTCTTGATCTTTGTTGTATACACATATATCTTTTCTTTCTGAAAGGATGTTTAAAAAGTTTGATTTATGATCTTTTTCCTCATCAGTAATCTCTACATCTTTGTCTTCCATGTATTCTTCATCTAATAATGCCTCAATAGATTCTCCTTTATCCACCTCAAAAAGCACATCCTCTTTTCTATAACCAATACCATCATTAGGTGTATCTAAATGTATAGGCATTTCTGATATTTCTTCCAATTTTGTTTCTTTTTTGGTTTCACCATCCATATAAAAATCTCGAAAATCCATAATTGTTCTGAAAACTTTAGAATGAAATATATATATATATATTTATATATATTATAAATATTACGTATATTTATGAATTATTATACTATATTTTAATTTTTTATTTTACCACTTTCTCTATCAAATATATCGTCACTCTCAAAATCTACGTATAAGGTAAACATTTTTAAGTACTTTTCACTTTTTATTAATTTTTGTAAACTTTTTATGATACGACTTGCTATATCTGGGTGAATCATTTTTGATTTTAAAACTGAGAAATGTTCCTTAAAATGACAATAAATTTGTTCATAATAATATACGTTTAGGTGTAGAACGGAAAGTATAGTTATAAGATAAAGAACAAATTTTTCAGAACCCTTATTGAAATATGACACAAGAAATTCAATTATTGCATACTCAAAAAAAGGACTAGAAGGGTTAGATGAAACTAAGTTAGATAAACCTAAATATAATGATAAAAATGTTTCAGATATGTAAAGGTTCCTCCTATATAGAACAGAAGGAACATGTAAAACTGCTTTGCTACATGCATTTGCATATTTTAGTGCAAACGTATTTTTATACAAAAAATTTCCTTTTAAATAAGTTACACTATTAAAAAATTTATGTAAATATAATGATGTATATCTTGTTAAGGATAGAATACTCTCTAAATTCAAAATTTGTCTAATAATATTATACATTTCCACAAAAGTGGCTAATACAATACACTGAATACGAAATCCTTTAGGTATATCATCATGTATAACATAAAAATCTTTTACTATTTGTTTATCAACGGGTATTTTAGTGAGAGTATTATTTTCAATAATTTTACATATTTTTTCTGTGACAACTCCTTTCATCGTTTCAACCTCTAATTGAATATCTAAACTCTTTTGTACTTTACTGCATTCCACTAAAAAGAAAAATACACAGATATATATTTTAATCTCTTCCATTATAAAAAAATAAAATTATGATTATCAAAATAAAGTAAAATTAAAAAAGCAAATCATAAATATGTTATATTCTTTTCACCTTCTTGTTGAACATCCTTAAAAGAAAATTCGGTAATATTGTGATTTAATTCTTCAACTGAAAAGTTGGAAAAATATAAAACAAATATAATAAAATTTAAACATGTGAAAATGAAAAAGAAAAGGAAAAAAAAATTATTAACATATTAAGCAAAATAATAAACATTAAAAATCGACAATTGAATTTCTAATTTTTTGATTAAAAAACATTTTAGTGATTTATTTTCATATTTTCTTCACATATTTATTTATTATTATATTTTTCTTTTTTTTTCTTAATACCTGAAACTGGGCTAATAGGTGATGACATTTTTTTAAAGTAGTAAAAAAACCTACGCAGTTTGTCTAAATAATATAAATATATATATATATATATATGTATGTAAATTATTATATATAACACAAAGTTACACAAAGAATTTAAAAAAATAAAAAAAAGGTGAACAGGCTATAAAATTTTAATTTAATATATATAATTGTGTGTGTATATATAAATACATATATTATTATTAATAAAATTAAATTTTTCAAATATTACCAGCAATACTATCTGCATATGTACTTAGATTAGGTAGTGTTTGTATTTCAACTTCATAGTATGGACTTTTCGGAATTTCACCATGAAAAGACAAGAATATTAAGTTTTTACTATTAAGTATTTTAAAAGTTCCTGATTCTATATTATTTGAATTTTCTTCAATATCACTTGGCTTATATACCTTAAATACTGGAACATTCCATACAGATTGTGGTTTTACTAAACTTATATTTCTATCTTGTAAAAATTGTTTAAAATTGTCTAAATAGGAACCTTTCAAATTTGTAAAAAGAAAATATAAATGTTTACATAAAGAAGCAGCATATTCTGTTTTTATTTCTCTATCACAGGATTTTCTTATATAATTATCAAGACATTTCAAAATAGTCTTTTCCGATTGACAATCTTTATTATAGTGCAATTTTAAATTGTAAACTGGACAAATAATAGATATATCATCTTCATTATCTATTATTTTTTTTAATTCTTTTTTTCTTTTATCATCATGCATATTAGTATATAAATATTTGATGGCTGTAACTTGAGATCCAATTGCACCCAAATATATTTTATATTCATCTTTAGTTAATTCAAAAGTTAACTCATGTTCTTCATCATCACTTTCTCTTATAGTTGTTTTTATTATTGGTGGTAAGATGCAATACTTATGAAATTCTTTAATTGGAAATACAGTAAATTTTCCAACTAGTATAGCATGACGGTTATAATACGAAAGAAAATTTTTTTGCTCTGTATTAAGATGCATAATCAGTTTATTAATGTCTGGTTCTTTGAATTCTAATAAAAATTCAGATACCCATGTACGATTTACACAATCTGATAAGTCTCTAGTTTTTTTATCTTTTAGTTTTTCTGGGACTCTAAAGGGAACGGACAAATAATGCTCTACAAACCAATAAAACTGTTCAGGTTCCAACACAAAATCTAAAAAGGACTAAAAAATTAAAAACAGAAAAAAAAACTATTTTTTATACATAAAATAAATAATTTTACTATAAGATTTATTGATAATTTAATAATTATTTGGTTATTATTTCTATTTTTTATTAACACATTATTATTATTTGCATATATTTTACTTTTACATATAACATACAAATTTTATTTAATATTATTAAAATAATATTTATATATTGTTTGTTATTTAAACTATTTTTACTTTAGTTTCTTAATATATTATTCCATACCTTATACATAAAGAAGTACAAAATAAAATTTGTATATATTTAGAATAGAATATTTAAATATTTTTATTATAAAATGTATTTAATGTAAAGAAATTTTTTTTAATACATTATAAATATGTTACACATTTTAAATATAAATAACATAATTCAAAAAATAATATAAAATAAAGTAGTAATTTTTTTTTTTTTAATAAAATATATATGTTTAAGAAATTCTAATGTGTTTTCTATAAAAGATAACTTTTTTATACATTATATATATAGGAAGCATTTTAATTATGAGAATTTTACACTTAATTTTTTAATTAAATCTTTCTCCTTACATCAACATCAGGTCCATTCTCTTTTAAATTATAATAGGCTATAAAATTACATTCTAAAAGAACTTTTAAATTTTGGGTTAAATATCCACTATAAGGATTTCTTCCAGTTACTTTATATGGAAAAAAAAAAGAAAGAAAACAATAAAATATAATCAAATCAAAAAATTAATTTAATAAAATTGAAAAAAAAAAAAAAATAATAAATAAAATTTTTTGACAAATTACCTAAAAGAGATGAAAATATTATAAAAAGTGTTACAAAAAGTTGACTTTTCATAGTTTTATATTTTTCAAATTAGAATCCTTAAAAAAAAAATAAATAAAAAATTAAAAAAAAATAAAATTAAATATATACAATAAAGATAAAGGAATATATTAATGCACCTACTACAATTTTCTAGAAGCTTTTTTAATATTAGAGTCATAGGATACTATTTTTATGTATAAATTTCTAATTCGTTTCCTCTTATTCTAGTATTTTATTAGTATCATATAAAGTTTTTAATTATGGAAATTTTAATTTTCTAAAATATTATTATTTATTTACTTATTTATTATTATTATTATTATTATCTTTTTTTTTTTTTTTTTTTTTTTTTTTTTTTTTTTTTTTTTTTTTTTTTTTGATCTGAATATTATTGATAAATTAAAACATTTATATTAAATATACTTTTAATACTACAACAGAATATATAAAAAATTATATAAATTTATTAAAGATAAAACTCATTTTATGTATTCTTAATGTATTCTTTAATAAAAAAAAAAAAAAAAAAAAAAAGATACTTATTTTTAAAAACAATATTAATATTACATCAAATACTAAAACTTAAAATCCTAATAAAAAAAACTTATCTATTTATTTTATTAAGTAAATTTTTTTTTTTTTATTATATAAAAAACTTTAAGAACTTTTGCTAATAAAATAAAAAAAAAAAAATCATTAATTATAATTAGATATCTAAAAAAAAAAATTAAATGTATCACAAAAAAATTTTTTTAGATAAAATGAATTATTCTTTATGTTATACGAATGATTCTAATTAGAGGCAGTAAAATTCTTAATATAAAAAACATTTCTTTTAGTAATATTTTATTTTAAAGCTTTGTAAACAGAATCTTTCGTGAAATTTTATTTTCCAAATGTTAAAAATTGTTTGAAAAATACATTAACTATAGGAAAAATACTTTTATTTATTTACATCTTTCTCATATATATAAATTGTTACTGCTCAGAAAAATAAAAAAAATAAAAATATTAATTGTAATGCACCTTTATGCACCACCCTGCATTTATAATTAATTCAAAGAACACATTCAAGTAAAAAAAAAAAAAATGATATATTTATTTTATTTTTTATATATAATTATAAATAATTTTAGAAAACATAGAAATGTATTTGAATTAAAAGAACTGTTTTTAAAAAAAATGCTTGCTTATATGTATAAAAAAGATAGAAAGTATTTCATTTGCTTTATTTTTCATAGAACAATCCATTTTTCTTAAGAAATAAGAGAAAATTATAAATATTATTTATATAATTTATTTATTTTTGTCTTATATACGATACATATTAATTATCTCCTTTTTAATTATTATTATTATTTTTTTTTTTATTTCATGTTGATTTTGTTAGTAAAAGAAATATAAAAAAAAAAAAAATAAATATATGAATAAAATGAGGTGGATCACTCTTTCTTATTAAATAATTAATGAAATTAAATTATGGTTTTTAATTATTTTACTATTTGAATTATTTATTTAAAAAAAATGTAGTAATATAAAAATTCAAAGGATGGTAAAGACATTATGTATTACAATATTTTTATATTCCTTTAAAAAAAGAAAATTATTATAATATATATAATAAATTTTAATTAGTTTCATATTTTTTTCACTTGTTTTATTATTCTTTATTTTTTATTATTTATATATTATATTATTCTTTTATATATTTTTACTTACATTTTGTATGTTTTTATTTTTTTTATTTTTTTTACTCTAAAATTATTAATTTTTATTGCTTAAAGATTAGCAAAAATTATTTTTCGAAAATTATTGTAAATTAGTAAAATCGAAGAAAACACTTTATTTGCTTTTAAATATTTATATATAATTTTTTATTATTTATTTTTGTTATTTTTTGTTTTATATTTTAATTTATATTACTTTTTTTTTTTTTTTTTTGTTATTTTATATTTCTTTATCATTTGTAATTTTATTGTGTATTTCTTTATGTTTTGTTGTTTCATTTGGTATTTCTTCGTTTTTTTTTTATTTTATTCCGTATTTTTTTGATTTATGTTATTTTATTGTATGTTTATAAATTTTTATTAAACTTTATATGTATTGTTCATTTATTTATTTATCTTTTTTTTTTTTTTTTTTTTTTGTTAACTATTGAATGCACCTTTATTTTTGTTTTTTAGCTACCTAAACAATTTATGCTTATTAAAAAGTATTTTTCATATTATTTTTATGCATTCATACATTTTAATTATTAATGAATTAAATTTAGAATAATTAATTAGTTAATAAGTTGATTACTCAATCTTTTTTTCTATTTTTTTTTCATTTTTAAGAAAAAAATAAACGCGAATTTTAAATGTATGCTAATACTAATTTGTATTTATTTTTTTTTTATATCTACTATATAAAATAAAAAGAAAATAATTTTTTTTTTTTATAAGTCTTTTTATTTTATATATCTTTTACATAGTTATAATATAAAATAAAAAGATGCTTTTTTTTTTTTTTTTATCTTTTTTTTGATTTTTTATATTTACCAAATATTTATATATGAAAAAAATTGGTGAAAAAAAAAATTTATGAATAATTGCTTTTCATATTTTCTTGAAGGCATGCTGTTAATTTATTTTCTTTTTACTCTCCTATTTATATTTAGATTGTTTTTTTTTCATTTTTTTTTCTTTTACCTTTACATAAAAATATAATGTATGAATCTGGTAATAAATATATGTTTGATGTAAAAAGATGTATAAGAATTTATAGGTTTTGTCTTATTTTACATTTAATTTTGGCAATATTGCAGCTATTTACACCTCGCCCATTTTTATTTATTGCACATTTAGCTGTATTTTTTATTGGAATTGATTGTTTTTGTTCATATTTAACTTTTAAGTATTTTTGTTTTACTGTTGTTAATATGATATGCGGCATTAGTGACTTTATATGGTTACTTTTTAAATGTATTGGAAAAAATAGATTTAAATGGTTAGACCCAAAATACTATTGGAAAATAATCAATATTGATAATATTTTTCTTCAATTTTTTTCTACTTCTTTACATTATATGTTTGATGAAAAAAAAAATTATGAAACACCTCAAAATATGCAAAAAAAATATGAATATATAAAAAACTTTTTTAAGTTATTACCGGTACAGAAAAAAATATGCGTATGGAAAATATATATAGAATTATTTATAATAATAGTAGGGATATTTTTATATTTTATGGGTTCATACATTAGTTGGCAATTATATAAATATACATTAAATTACAATCAAAACGATCTGTTATTTCATAACTATCATTATGGTACATTTCACGAAGATAATAATCAAAATTCACCTTCGTCACAGAATGATTTTATTCCGTTTATCGGACAACCATACAGAATTTCTGACTTTTTAGAAAAAAAATAACGTACATATATTATATATATAGAAAAGTATCTTTTTTAATAAATATGTTTTTTATTTATATGAAAAAAATTTTTCTTTTTATGAATTGTTAATTTTTTTGTTTATAATTATTATTTCATATTTTATAAATATATTTTTTTCGTATATATATTGTTATTGTTTTATTTGTTTTGTTTTTGTTTTTTTATACATTTTTTTTTATTTATAATTGCTATTTTATTATTATTATTATTTTTTTTTTTTTTTTTTGGTATAATTCTCTATTATATGAAAATAAGTTGTGAATTTAAATTATTATATTTTTTTTAATATAAATAAGTTTTTTCTATTTCAATTACATAGTATCATAACAATGAAATGTATAAATGTATATAGGTTGTATATATTTTTAGTTATAATTATTTATCATTTATAATAATGTCGTCATAAGTTAGAATATTGTAATTATTTCATCTTTTAAATTTTGTCTTTGTACAAAAAAAAATAAATGTTAAAATTTTTTTTTCTTTTTTTTAATATTTTAAAAATAATTATATCATTAGATAATTTGTTTCATATATATATATCTTAAAATGTTTATTTTAAGAAGCAAACAAAAAAAAAAAAAAAAAAGATCTGGTAACTTTTATATTTAGGATGAAGATTATAAAATCATTTGAACCTCCGAAGATTTTGAATACTTTTAAAGAAATATAACGTAAAATAAATCATGTAGGCTTATTAAAAATTAAAAAAATAAAATATTAATATATTTTAAATATAGAAATTAAAAAATATATTATTTATATATATAAATTTTTTTTATCATAAATAAATTTGTGTGTATTTTTATTAACATTTTATTCTCTTCATTTTTTTCTATTTTTTGCATTATGATATTTTTTACATAATTGAGAGAAAAGAAAAAAAAAAAAAAAAAAAGCTACATTAATTGTAGCATACTTATATAATTTTTTTTTATTTTTCTTCATATAGACAAAATATATCTTAATTTAAACAATTTCTTAATACATTTTTAATTTGATTCTTTATATTATTAAATATGAAAATTATTATTATTTTATTTTACTTTATTTTTTTGTGATAATTTAAAAATACATATATCTAATTTATAATAATATATCATTTAAATGAAAATTATATATATAATTTTAAGTATTTCTTTTATGTCGTGGAATTTGTATCCTTTGTCTATTAATTTAAATTAGTTTTAACTAATCTTATTAATGTTAAGATTCTTTTTATTCTTTCTAGAATAATTTAGAATTATCATTATTATTGTTTCCGTTATTATTATAACTTTTGATTACTAAGAGAATAACATTTTAAATTATTAATAATTTTAATATTACTATTAATTATTATTATTTTCATTAATTTACTAATATTATAAATTATTATTTTTATTTATACTATTATTATTAGTAATTCTATATTTATCATGAATTATTTCTATTAATAAGTTATTTAACATAATCACTGTTTTCATTTAATAGTTATTTTTTTTTAATATAATAATTTTTTATTGTTTTGTCTTTTATTTGAAAGCAAAAAAAACAAAGTTTAAAAAACATGAAAATAGAAAATAATTTAGACGAACCGATAAATTTAAAGTTTTGCTATGGAATTAATGAATCATTAGGTAGTGTGCATATTATAAAAAAAAAAGAAAAAGAAAAAGAAAAAATAAATATAATATACAGTTCAGATAATAACATTGTTATGCTTGATGGAAAAAAACAAATATTATTTAGAGGTCATTTTAATCAGATATCTCAAATAATTAGAAATTACAACAATGAGTTTCTTATTTCTTGTGATAAAGGAACCAACTCTTTTATTCTTCTGTGGAGGATAAGTAATAACGAATTAACTCCTATAAAGAAGTTTTGTTTCAGTAGTTCATCTTATGATAAAAATAAAAATGATATAAATAAAGATTTAAATGAAGATAATAAAAAAGAAGTATACAAGGAGAATATTAATGAAAATGAAAATAATAATATAGGATATGAATGTGTAGATATAAGTTTTGATAATAGATATATATGTGCTTTAACAGAAGAGAAAACATATTTCAAATCAAATGATAAATTGCTGGAAGGAAAATCAGGTAAAAATAATCTAATTAATAATGTGCATTTTCAAGAACTTATTATCTTTGATGTTAGTGGTGGAGAGAACAATGTTGTATGCACTGATAAAATATATGGAAAAGAGAAACAAACTAAAATTAGATTTAATAAAAATTATGAAATAATTTCTAATAGTTCTTCAAAATTATATATTTATAACTTTGATAAAAAAAATAGAACTATAAGTCATTATAGTCCTTCCTTATATAAAAGTAGTAAAGTATGTGAACAGTTCATTTTCACGGAGACATCATTTATAGAAAATTCTACAGCGTTATTAACGGGAACAACAAATGGTTTTTTAATTGTATGGGATTACAGTACTATTTTTATAAATAAAACTAAAAATAATATTAAGCAAAGAGAATATCAAAAATCATTAGAAATTAGAAAAAATATATCAATTAATATTGTTTTAAGTTATGGAAATTTTGTTATTATAGGATTAAGTGATGGTAGTGTACAAATTTTTGATAAAGAACTGAAATGCTATGCATGGTTTGAAAATGATAAAATAGGTGCAATAAGATCTTTATCTTTTGAATTCTGTAATTTTGAGAAAGACTTTTTTTTATGGAATTCTTTCATTTTATTTACTGATAAAAATATAATTAAGCAAATTAATCCACATAGTTTTCGAAACAAATTTTTGAACGATAAAGAAAAATACATTAGTGATAATAATTTAGATATAAAAAATGATAAAAGTTATAAAATGAAATTAAATAATAAGATAAATGGAAATAATAAAAAAAATCATAACGGTAATTCCTATAGTGATGATAAAATTTCAAATGAATTTCATGATAATGATAGAATTCTTAAAAAAGATAATATTGATATAAATAAAAAAGATGCTATAGTAAATATAGAATCAGAATGTTTGGATGATATTTATAACAATTACAATGTAGATAATTATGAAGAAAATACTACAAAAAATAATAAAAATGAAACAATCCTTCATTTTTATAGTTCATGTATAAATTGTATATGCATAAATCCTGTAAATAATGAAAATATTATATATATTGGAAATAAGGATGGGTTAATTGAAATTTTTGATTTTGATAAAAATGAAAACATTTCAATGATTGATTTAAAAGGTAAGGAAATAATTACTATGATTTTTAGCAACAATGGACAAATAATTTGCGTTGGTTGCAAATGTGGGTCTATTCATTTGATAAATTCTAATAGTTACGAAATTTTTTTTAATAGTAAGGATATGAAGTATGAAATAAAGTATTTATATTTTAGTGAAGATGATAAAATATTGGTTTGTTCTTCCAACAATGGAAATATAATAATTTATAAAAATGATAACGAGAATATATATGATTGGAAGTATGCATATAAAATTGTTAACAATAACAATATCACACTTAATGATCTAAATATAGTGAAAGAAGTAGATAAATATTATACATACATAATTATAGCAATAACAGATAATAGATATATAATTTTTCATTATTACGATTTTCGACATAACAGTGTTGTAATTTCTTACCTCCTCATTGAACAAATTCACACACCTACTTGCTTGACTAGCAATTTATATTTTTATAATAGACAGATATTATGTATTTGTAATGATGCATCTAAAATTCGATTCTTTGATTTGGAAAATAAAAAAATAATTAAAACAGTTCATTTACCATTTAAAGAGAAAAAGGTACAAGCATTTATACCTCTAATAAATTGTAACAATTATCAAGAAAATTTAAAAAACGATGATAATATGTATAAAAATATATTGAATAAAAAAATTAAAAATAATTTTGATAAAAAAAATATATTTTTATTTGTTTTGAATGAAAAAATGATTGTATTTACTCAAAGCCCTATAGATGCAAATTGCTTCAGGTATATAGGTGGAATTGTATGTAGCGGAAGTGTAAAAAATGTTGTTGTAAAAAATAATAAAATTTTTATACAAAGTAATAATAAAATATTTTATTATAATATTAATATTGAAGTATTAAAGAAAAATATAGAAATCCAAAATTATACTTTAGAAACTTTTATTGATCAAATAGGAGGAAGAAAAGGAAAAACATATAATCAAATTATTGATTCTTTTTATTATTGTGAAATTCAAAAAAAAAAGTATGAGGGAAAAAAAGAAAAACATGAAATAAAAAAATTGCTAAATATTTTGTCTATTGAATATATTTTTGCTTCTATCAATGTTTTCTTATCAAAATTTGAGATACAAAATATTATACAAGAGTATCACTTTTACTATAAATATGTTCTACAATTATTAAAAGAACAAAATGATATAACAAATGAAATAGTTTTTATGGAAGATATAAAACTAGTAAATTACAAATCAGAAGAGGATATTCTTCTTCAAAATATATTTTTTATACAATTAAATGAAAAGAAAGGTAAAAGAGAAAAATATTCATAAAAAGATATATATTTATAAGAAAGTTTTAGTAGTTTTTTTTTTTTTTTTTAATTTATATATTTTATGTCTATATAATATAATCTTTAAAAGAATTGTATATTGTTTGAATTTAAAAAAAAAAAAGGTTTTTAAATTTTAAGAAATTTTATATTTTTTAAAAAAGACCATTTATATTTTTTAATTGAAAAAATAATTATATATGTATATTTTATATATATATACTTTTATAAATATCATAAAATAAGAAAAAAAGAAAATATAGTTGTTTTACTATTGTTTTATTATAATAAAATAAAAAAAAAAATTGTTTCCTAAATATGAATAATATTTAGCTTATTAACTAATTTATTTTTATAGATAAAAAGGAAAATTATAATAAAAATTTCCATAAAGAAATATTAAATGAATTTAATAAAGAAGTAGAAATGAATTATATGGATAATGTATTAAAAGAAAAAAAGATAGAGAAAAATGAAATGAATAAAAATGATTTAAATAATAATAAAAACATTAAATTAGAAAATGAATTTGAAGAAAAAGAAATAGATTTTACTAAAGAATGTGAAAATATATACTTCAATATTAATGCATTTATATATACATATTTTAACTTTGTGATGGAAGAAGAAATTAATTTTGAGAAATTACTAGTAGAAATAATAAATTATTACAAAAAGAAAAAAAATCAAAAGAATATAACTTTCAGCGATTTTTTCTATATATTAAAAAAATATGGAGAAATAATGGATCGAAATGAGTTCAAAAGAATTTTTCAAGTTTTTACAAAAAAAGAGGAATTTTTTAATGATGATGATACACTAGATTTTGATACGTTAAAATATTTATTTCAATAGAATTTGTATATATAACTTTTAAAAAATATAGTTCTATATATAATTTTAGATAATCTAATCAAAAAAAAAAAAGAAAAAAATAGTAATATTGAAAAAAGTAATATTTTTAATAATAATAGTTAAAGTAATATAACCTAAGATATATTTATCCATATATTTATATACTAATAATTAAAGGAAATTCATTAGTTTGTTTTTTTTTTTTTTTTTTTCTTTTTTATCATATAATTAAACACACATTAATATAAAAACTAATTTATTTATTATTTTATGTTATGAATAGCTTTCTACAAATCTAAGATAAAATGAAACTATTGTTACCTAATAATACATTTCGTTTTTTCTATTTAGTAATTTAAAAAAAATTATAATAAAATAAAAAAAAAAAAAAAAATGCATTTTTAAGTTAATTTTTTATTGTTTATTTTTTGTAAGTTGAAAATTAATTAAATTCATAATTTTTAATGATTATTTATTATTATTCATTTTTATACTTAACATATAGTTTCAATATTATTATATAAAAAATGTAAATAAATAAAGTAGCTAAATAATCTAAAAAAAAATTGCTATTATAAATTATGCACATGCAGAATTTATATTTTTGTATCTATTATAAAATAAAAAAGCTTTTATAGACAAAAAAATTAATTGTTTTAATAATTTTTTTATTTATTAAATAATATATATATTATTTATTATCTATGAAAAATATAAAAAAGAAAAAAAAAAGGAATAAATATAAAGAATTCTATTTATCTGAAATTTTGTTAAAAATGTACATCCTTTATAATTTACCAATTTCAAAATTGATAAAATTGTAAAAAATATATGATTTTGATTTATGTATATAATTATGTATACAATTATGTATACAATTGTAGAATAAAAATAAAGTTATTCATATATAAGTTACATTTCATATTTCTTCAAAGATATATATTATTTTGTATAAAAAATAATAAACACAAATATTATTATTGAAATCTACAGAATATATCGTAAAGAAGCGACATTTATTAATATTAACAACATATAAAAATTGGATATGATGTTCTTAGTTTTAAAGTTGCTATTAAGTGAAACATGACAAAGAAATATTATGTGTAAAGTATATTTACAATATGTAATAATAAACTTTATTAATAAAATTTTAAAATTTATTTAATCATTATTCTATGGAATTTAAAAAATGAAGTTTTCTTTTTTATCTTTTTTTTTTTTTTTTTTCTTACACAGAAATGTTTGTTTTATGTATATTATATTTATATATATATTTAGTGAAGAATATTTTTTCCCTTATGAAGATTTAAATGCATTTGAAATAAAAAAGACTTAACAAAATATAAGAAATTTTACTTCATATTATGAAAATATGTTTTTTTTTTTTTTTTTTTTTTTTCTAAAATATGAATAATACAAAATTTATATAATGTTAAGAATAAAAAAAAAAGTAAGTTAAAAGGAAAGACTCATTTAAGAAGGAAATATTCATATAAAACATATAGATAAACACATGGATTAGCATAGATATATATTTAATTATAAAAAGAATATAACATAATAATTTAGTAAATATTAAAAAGTCAACATACTGAAAATTTTATAAATTATCCAATATAACAACAACAAAAAAAAAAAAAAGATATATGTATGTATTTAAGTTTTTTTTAGATTTCAAATTAAAGTATTTTTAAGTATGTCAGAAAAAAAAAAATATTTTTTAAATAATTAGTATATTTACTTTTAAAAGTAAAAGGTTGTCTTCAATTTTAATATCTCTATATGAAAAACATCTTTTTTATTCTATTTTTTATAATCTCTTGGGATTTCTATATCTGTTGTAAAATCGTATTCAATAGATGGTATTACACCAGAAACAAATTTCAGTAAAAATAATAAATATAAATCATGCCTAATAAAATAACAATAAAAAATATTTTTTTTAAAATTTTTTTTTTTAAAAGAAATTTTTATTTATTTTTTTTTTTTTTACCTTGGTTCTTTTTTGTCGTTTATCCAATTTTTTATAATTTTCAGCATTGCATCTGCATGTCTATACACGTAAAAAAAAAAAAAAAAATAAAAAAGAAAGAATGAAATTTTATTAATAGAATGTAATTTTACAAAAATAAAAATCCTCAATTCAAATAAGTAATTAATTTATTTAGATAATAAATTACCTGCATGGATGTATAGATGCAGTCATAATTCCTGTACATGGGTGTGGATCATACTGAAAAAAAAAAAAAAAAAAGAAACGAATATATTTGTATCCGTAAATATATATAAATAAATCATGGGATAAACTAAAAAAAAAAAGTAATATTTTGTAATAAAAACTATTTTTAGAAATTTTTTTATAAAGTATTTTTAGTTCTAACTGTGACTGTTTTATAACTATAATCTGCCAAAACGTCTTCAAAAATTTCTTCAGGTTTTAGAGGATTTCCATTCTATATATATGTAAAAAAAAAAAAAAAAAAAATAAAAAAATAATGAAATAAAAATATTTAGTTAAAATTTATGTAAAATAAAAAAAAATTTACTTCATCATATCCAAATAGCCATATCCGAGGAGTTTGGTAATATTTATCATATGTTATACTAATGTCATATGTTCGTATTTTCATGGTATCTATAAAAATATAAAATAATTATATAAATTTGTCTTTTAAATAATAAAATGTTATTCATTTATTTAAAAAATTTTGCTTTCTATTTCTACTATCATTTCTAATATTATTATAATAATAACTTGGGTTATCAACAGATGCAGGATCATTTTCCTATATCGAAAAAAAAAAAAAAAAAAAAAATATAGTTCTATATTCATTTAACAAAAGGATTAAAATATATATAAATATCTTTCTTATATATTTTCTTTTCTCTTTTTAACATTAAATATACTGTCTTCTATATCAAAATTATTTATATCAATAACATCATCGTCATTATCATATTCCTATGTAAGTGTTAAACAAAATTTATACAATAAATATTCCTTCTTTTTACATGTTTTCCTTTTGTTTTATTTAAAAAAAATTTTTTACTTTTTCTTCTTTTATTGATTTTCTTATAGAGAAAGGCAGATTATGTGGGTCTAAAAAATGCTTAAAATTTAATTATATTTTTAATGAAGTAAATAAAGAAACAAATATTGTATATTTTCTTTTTATTTAAAAACAAAACAAAAAAAAATAAAAAAGGTATATTTTTTGAATATATATTTAATTTTATTTTTATAAATTACATTCATTTATATCTATAGCATTATTGTCTTCTTCATAATTGGGATGTAGCCATTCATTTTCTACAATTTTCTTAAAAAAAAAAAAATAAATTTATTTACATCCAAGTTTTGATAAAATATATATATATATTTATCATATATAATCATTTATAATTTAAATATGTCTTTTTCTTTTTTAATTTTTCTGTTTTTATTTTCAATATTACTAAATCATGAGTTATATAATTTAATTCTTTTAATCTTTGTTTACAAGGAGCATTTCTAGTTATTAAAAATTGTTTCCCTTCTGGCAAATAAGAAACGTTTCTATCTTTATCTGCTTCTTGCCTTGAGGAGAATATATAAAAATATCTTTTTATATTTCAATGTATTAATATTATATATTTGTTTTTATAATTTTTATTTACTCATTTTTTAATTTATTTAATACAGTCATTTTTTATTTTATTTTTTTTTTTTTTTACCATTCCCATGTTTTGAATTTATGAACTAAAAAATCTCCTGCATCCACAAATTCTTCTGGTGTTAATGTGCCTGAACACATTAATATACATAAAATTAGTAAAATAAAAAATAATTTGAATAAAGAAATATATTAGTTAACTTTTTATATCATTTTTATTTGTCTATAATTTTTTAAAATTTATTAAATATGTTATAATATTATTCATTTTTTTCTTTCTACATATATAGGATTACTCACATACATTATATATATACGAATTCTTCTATAATTAAAAAGATGTTATTTTTTAGTTTATTTACTTGTTTTTTTCTTTTAAAAAATATATTATTTTTTAAGAATTTTTTTTCTTTTTATTTTAGTAGTTATATGTAACTTTTTTAATATATCTCATTATAAATGAGTGTACACATATTTTTATAAAACACAATAATAATTGATAAATTAAAATAATTTTTTTACCATTTTTAATAAATGAAGAAGTATTTGAAATTGGCTTAAAATATGAATATATTTTTCTACAAGTATCTGCTATCTTATGCTTTACATTTAACTGATCACTCATTTCAGTTTAATAAATTATGATTGATTACTTTTATAAACAAAAAAAAAAAAAAAAATAAATAATAATATGTATTTATATAAAGCAAATTATAAGGATTCAAGTATAATTTTTTTTTTTTTTTTTTTTTAATTTCTTTTATTAATGAATGAGTTAATAAGTTACTACAATATAAAACCAATAAAAAAAATATCATATATTCCCACATATATTTAAAAGTTAATTTTCCTATATGAACTATTTTTTTTTTTTTTTTTTAACCTTTTAACTTTGTTGTTATTTAATAATTTTAAAACAGAGAATATTTTTCCAATTAAAAATATATTATATCCTTTTTAAGAATATATTATATATAGCATCTTATATACATTTTATATTTATTTTTTTTTTTTTTTTTTTACAATATAAGAATAATATTTTTGATTATATTTATGTTATAATTTCGTTTAAAACTTTAGTTACTATTTTATTTTTATATATCTTTATTAAAATATAAATATTTACAAATATGTAAAAATGAATAAAAAATAAATGACAGAAAAAAAAATAAATTTTCAAAATATTATTTTAAAAAATAAATGTAAATATACACTGTAAAATATTTTTATTTTCAAAATTGGAAAATTTAATTTTCATCAATAAAAATCAAAAGATTTCTTTTTTTTTAAAAAAAAAATCAGTTTAGTATTTTTTTATATTTATCTATTTTTGTTCTTTTTTTTTTTTTTTATCTTATTTTTTTGCTTATATTTATTATTTCTTTATATATGTCTCCTAAAATTTTTTTGTAACTTAAATTTTTCTAATTTTTAATTTAAATTATTTTCCTATTAATGTTAGCTATAGAGAACATAAGAAATATAAATTTTTTTTTTTTTAAAAATTAAATGTTTTACATTTCATTATATATATTAAAAAAACAAAAAGAAAAACTATCATAAAAGAATTTCATAAAAAAAAAAAAAAAAAAAAAAAATTCATATGTATTCTTAAAAAAAAAGTTTTGATTATTACAAATAAAAAAAAAAAAAAAATAGTTATATGTTCGCATGTTAGTATATATATATTTTTTCATTATTTATACTTTTTTTTTTTTTTTTTTTTTTTTTTTTTTTA